GCGATGAGACCGGAACAGATCAGTGATGAGTCCCGGACTCATCAGCGATGCGATGGATTAGATATATAAGGAACGGTCATTACCATAGATGTATTTAGTTCTTCGCGTTCAATCATACATTGTTACTTGGAACCTACAGTTCTAGCTTCACACTTGTTTCGTATTTAAGACAAACCACCCTACTAGGAGAGGTATACTTAGTCTCTTGTCACTTGACACAGATCCTAAGCATAGCTTGACTAGGCGCACTACCTGGCGCAGACCAACAAGAGTCTACTCTATAGACCCGAGCCCGTGTAAGGCCTTCAGGTAACGGTACGGTTGCGATTGAGACTTGAGGACGAGCCTCGACGTACGTATAACGGACCATACGAGCGATACTCACTGTGACCAGTTAGCACCGCGTAACAGTATTAGTATAATAGACTTAAGTAGATTATATATATTCTTTTTATATTCTACTAATTCCTTCTATATAGTATTAATAAGTTATAACTAACTTAGGAGAGAGGACTCTACCTTCTATATAATATAGGGAAGCCGCTTCTACTAATTTCTCGCCCCTCTAAATAACTATATACTATATATATCCCGTTAGTCTAGCCCCTAACTACCTATATAAGTAATCCCCTTTAGCCTATCCCTATAGGATCTAGGATAAGATACCTAGGATACTTAAGCTTAGGTTACTTAGGCTTAAATTACTTAGGTTTAGGCTACTTAGCGTCTAGCTATTAATAACTAGGCCCTTTAGGACTAGGCTATTAAGGACTAGGCCGCTTAGGAGGCCTAGCTTACTTAGGACTAGGCTAATATAATTATTAAGACTAATTAGGTTACTAAGGCCCTTTAGGTTACTTAGGAATAGTATAATTAAGAGGGTTAGGGACTAGCTTAGTTTTGGAATTTTAGGGCTATACTCACTGCTATAGCTACTAGGGCTCTTAGATAAGTTAGTTAGGGGGCTAAGGCTACTTAGGCCTAGGGATAAGCTAGTTAGGATACTAAGGCTACTTAGGCTTAGATATAAGCTAGTCTAGATACTAAGGCTACTTAGGCTTAAGAATAAGCTAGTTAGGATACTAAGGCTATTTAGGCTTAGATATAAGCTAGTTAGGATACTAAGGCTCTTTAGGCTTAGATTTAAGCTAGTCTAGATACTAAGGCTACTTAAGCTTAGGAACTAGCTAATATAATAGCTTATAGTACTTAGACCTAGGAACTAATTAATAAATAGGCTTAGGTTTTAGTAGCTAAGTCTTAGGTGAATATAAAGGGATCACTATATATACCTAGAGGTAGAGGAGGGGACCTAATAATAGGACTACCTATACCCTTATTAATAATAGCTAGATAATATCATCCTTATAATACACTAAGATAAATAACACCATTAAGGATTCCTAGTCCTACTTAGCATAGAAGGGGTAATTAGGGTTTAAGAAGGATAGATCCTAAATCTCTACCTCTACCTCGTTCTAAGTTACTATATATACTATATAATCTTTAATCTTTAGATCCTACTTAGGATCTAAGAACTTCTTAAGTTCTAAGAACTCCTTAGGATCTAGGATCTATTTAGTATCTAAGGCTATCTTAGGATCTAAGACCTTCTCTAGATCTAATACCTTTTCTATTACTAAGACCTCGCTAGGACCTAAGTACTTAGGATCCAAGTACTTAGGATCCAAGACCTCGCTAGGATCTAAGTACTTAAGATCTAAGTACTCAAGATCCAAGTACTTAAGATCTAAGTACTTAAGATCTAAGTGCTTAAGATCCAAGTGCTTAAGATCTAAGTACTTAAGATCTAAGTACTTAAGATCTAAGTGCTTAAGATCTAAGTGCTTAAGATCCAAGTACTTAGGATCTAAGTCCTTTAGATTATTAGATTAACTAAGAGAAAGAATTATACAATTTTTCATTTAATAAAAAAGCATTTAGGAATAATATACTTATATTAAATATAATTTATAATAGTACTAAATTACATAGTATTAATTAGCAGTTTTATATATACTAAGACCATAGTTTTATGCAAAGATGGGCTTTTTATGGGCCCCTATAGGCCCCCATAAAAAGCCCAAAGCCTATAGTAGGTTAGGCTTGAGATTTACATAAAGCCTAAAGCCCATAGTGGGTTAGGCTTTGGGCCTGACTCTAGGCCTATTTTCAGGTTTTGGCGATGTCTAAGCCTATACTAACCATGTATACAGTTAGCAGTCAATAGAATAAATATCTTTTAAAGCCATCGAAGACTAATAGCATCGTTAGTCCAACCATTCGGGCTAACCTCAATTCGCCAGTCTGTAGGCGTATCGTAGAACCATGATTCAATATATCGTATGCCTTTGAATATGATCAACGGTGGCAATGTCCAGCCTAAAGCATTGACTGTTTCAATTGTGGTTACCCATTCACGATTGCCTGGCTGCAATACAGATCGACGGCCATAGTATTCAGCCCTAGTAACCACCTTTGCGGTAGTCACCAAGCCCATTGCGAAACCAGTTTCATCGAAGTTATACAGTGGCGTCTAAATAGTCTAAGACAACCTAACTTTACCGCCTTATATTCTGCCACGTTTTCTGCCAGTTAAAACCCCCTATCTAATAACTAGTATACCAGCCCTCGTTTTCAAGCACTTATTGCACCCTATAGGGCATAGTTACAGCAAGGTTTTCAAGCATATCTAAATCCATATGGGACCAAGCTTCTTGAGCCACAGAAACGACGAATTTAAGGGTCTCGTCGTTATCTGGCATACCTCTGATTTCAGGGTGTAATTCATAGATTTTAGCCTTTAAGAGAGACCAAAGGTTCTCAATAGGGTTTAAATCAGGTAAATAAGGGGGCCAGGCCATGATTTCGAATCCTTGGTCCGCTAACCAATCACGTATAACGTGCGCGGTGTGCACAGGAGCGTTATCTTATTGGAAAATAGCGCCATTAACTCCATTTAATAAAGTTAGAAGGACTCGCTGGTAAAGCTCGAGGATTACCCATCAATTAACCCCTCCACGAGGTGAATCTAGGTCTCTAAAGAGAGGGATAAGGCCTATCCGTCGACCAGTTCCCGAGAAAGCGGCCCAAAACATCTATGATTGACCCTTATGACAATCAACTACCTCGATATCTCGGAGTGCGATTTAAGTCGAGGGTCGGTTAAAGGTATACTCTCGGCGAGCACCTTTACCTTTCTCGATTATTAATTCGTCAGACCAAAAGATCCTTATCCATTTCTCAGAGTTATAATCCTAGACTTATTAAGCCCATCGAAATCGCTTTTGAGCTTGCTCTTCTGTGAGCGCTGGGCGTCGAAGACGGAGCCATTTCCGTCGATTTTCTTCGCGAAGAAGTCTCCACATCGTATCTCGACAGACTTTATGGTCAACTTTTACAAGAAGATCATGATATTTAACGCATGGGTTATCATTAATCGCTTGATGGATATTCTCCTTATCCTCCTCATTAAGCTTCTTTGGTTGGCCAGAACGAGGTAACGTTTCTTGTGAAGGCCCTTTCTGATCAGCCCTAAGCCATGTAGACTTGATTATAGAGATTGGAATTGAAGGATATCGATCGTGTATCTGCTTATACGACCAGCCAATCGATTTAAGCTCTATAAGCTTCGTACGTTCATATGGGGCCAGTTCGCATCCACGACGATGTGCGGCTATATTATCACGGCGAATTGGAGGCATATTGATATAGGAATTGTATAATATAGGGGTTAAAAGGCGTGTCTAAACGTATGACATATGTTTATACTAGCGTGGTAAGACGCGTGCTAAGGTAGGCTAGCTAGATATGGAAGGCGGTGGTAGAAGTGGTAAAATAGGGTGTCTCAGACTAGTCAGACGCCACTGTAGATATCGTCCGGTATGATACCATAACGCATAATAGTATCATTGACTAGCTGAAACCACCCACGAAGGATACGTGGGTCTTCTTGCTGTGCCCGTTGATAGTCATATCGACGCGAAAAGCGTGTTTGAATAGTCGGTGTTCGTTTGATATACTTCCTAACCCAATGGATGCCGACCTCATGGGTACCGGTGGCAGCAAGCAATAAATTGGCCATATTACGTACCATAGCCTGCCTAGGCGCTGTACCGCGGTCATCCATAGATATAATCCACTTTGTAAGCGTATCCTCGTCGATCTGGGTCATTTTGAAGCCTTTGGTGCGCATAGTTGAACGAAAAGGGTGGCCATTGATACGGTTGCGTAGCGTTGAACGCGGTACGTCATATACACGCGCCGCGGCCGTAATAGATGGTATTTCTTTTTTTTGAATAGCTTGGATTGCAAGCTCTATCCTACCTTCTTGGTGGATAGAGTCTTGTTTAGATTTAGAACGATTTGGTGGCATGGTAGGTGGTTAAACTAGAAGTCTAGAGATGGAGACGCGAAAAAATGATGGGGTGGCGGCGAGGGGGTAATGGCGGTGAAGGGGTAAAATACGTTATCCACATTTTTGGGTATTTTGGGTAACCCACGGGTACCCGCCAAGAACCCACGGGCGGGTTTATAAAAGCCAAAACCCGCGCTGGGTATCCGTGGGCGGATAAAGAGATTGAAAACCCAACCCAAACCCACGCTTGGCGAGGTCTAGTCTTGTCCCGCTACCGATTTCTAGGGGGGGGGTGGGGGAAGGGGGGATTTTAGGGAAGCCGTCCGTAAATTGGCCCTGGAAAGTCCCAAACAACACCCCTTCCTTCTTTCTTTCACTATGCGTGCCCAGAACCCCGCGAATTCCTGCTGGTCAGGCACCTCACGACGGACGTCCATCATTGCCTTGCAGCCACGTGATTTGTTCGCGTGATGAATATTTAATATACATGAATGCTTAACTCCGCCAGTTTCCGCCAGTTACATAAGCAGTGGTCAAATAGGCAACTTTAAGTACAGGAAATGCGAAACGTTCCCACCGTTTCTCCGCAGCTTTCGGGATTCACAACTCGGCCCAGGAGATTAGACCCAACAACGCCGCCGCTATGAGCACTGCTAAGCGGAAAAGTATAGTCGAGGAATTTGATACGCGGAATGCAACTCCGAAGAAAAAAGGTGTCCGTCACCGTGCTGCCCTAGCCTGTGAGGAGTGTCGCGCGCGCAAGAGACGATGTGATGGTGCAACGCCAGCTTGCGGCGGATGCATGAAGCGCACATCCGTGTGTGTGTATAGCTCTGAAATTCAGACTAAAATGTGGCGGAATAGGTAAGAGCTACCGAATTAAACCCTTTTTATTCTTTTTATCTTTCTTGAGGTAGAGGCTAATATAGGTCCTAGTATGATCCTGTCCTTACGAACTCGTTTGGAAGAACTTGAAAAGGAGGACGATTCGGTACCCGGACTTGAGAGACTTATTTCTCGCAACGACGCTTCCATCTCGGCCTCAACTCGACATCTCAGTCCGGCCGTAGAAGCCAGCGGCGATGCAGTTGGTAACGAAGATGTTCAGCCCTTGAGACCAATAAAAGCGACCTTCCCAACTGTTCTTTCTTCTGCCTCTCAAGATCAATCGTCTATCGGCGCTGATACGGTCCATAGCCAGAGACAACCTGGCATCACCTCTGGGTCGAGAAGCCCGAATGACTATAATGCTAGGAGCTTGGAACCCTGTAGCGTGGAGAAGTTGATGAAACCGATTGATCAAGCCATTGACTCTAGAAAGGGCCAAAATAACTTACCTGCGCATCCGATCTTCCCCGCAAATGCTACAATCTGTGGTCCGACTCGGATCAGTGTCACGAGTTGCTCCTGTGATCAGCTGCTAGGCGCCTCGCGATGGCGTTTACCGCTGCGAAGCACTGCAGATGATTTAGTCGCTTTGTACTTTGCCCGAGTCAATCGAATGTACCCGATCCTTCACGAGCGGACATTCAGGAAACAATATGAGTGCTTGTGGCAGTCAACGGCGAGGACATCTACGACAATAGGTGTAAGCTGCTCTGGTTTGTGCAAACAGAAAAGCAAAGGTAAAACGTTTCCTGCGATGGTGCATGCTGTATTTGCTCTGGCCTCCTTATTCGAAGCCGGAAGCCCTGAGCAAAATATCCCTCAAGCAGACGACTACTTCCGACTGTCTCAGGAGATTGACCTCTTGGATGTCCTAGATTATGAAGTGGGGATTGAACTTGTCCAGCTGGGCCTCCTGATGGGGTTTTACCTCCAAAGTACCGAACGATTCTCAAAATGCTGGAATATCACTGGCCTCACGATTCGAATGGCGCAAAACATGGGACTGCAACTAAAGCTATGCGAGGCTCGACGCAAAGGGTTGTTTGCTCCTCTTGCAAGCCAGCTTGACTGCGAGATGAGGGTACGAGTCTGGTACGGATGCGTTCTATTAGATAGGTAAGAAAGACTGCGTACAATGCGTCCCTATGCTAACAATCATGATGCAGGGAAATTTCCATGTCCTTCGGGCGGCCCTTAATGATTGTCAATAATAGACAGGCTGTTAGGTTGCCCACTTCAATCGATGATAATCGTCTTTCCGAAGAACTGGGGACTTGCAATGTTCAGTCGACAAGTGTTCCGAGCTTGCTGGAGTCGTACGTCCGAACGATCAGACTCTACGATATACTCAAGATAGTATTGGACCGGGAGGAGCTTAAAGATTCACTGAACAAAAGTCCAGATATTCAGTCACTGTTGAGACTGGATACCATGATCATGGAATGGCGCGACGCTCTGCCCTCTTACCTACAATATGACCCTTTGTCTGAAGGTACAATCTCAGGGGAGCAGCATATTCCTGGCATGACGACTACACAAACCGACTTTTCCGCTCAGGCCAAACGGCTTTACGCAAGGTATCTATACCAACATCACCCCTTCCCTAAGGCAGCCCTAATATATTCTAGATTCCTACATGTACGAGTCCTAATATTGCGCCCTGCTTTGGATCTTCTGTTTCAGAAACAACAACATCCCACTCCATCGGTCAATAAACGTTCGATGGAGGCAAAGGTTCAAGACCTGATGCTTTCGGACATTGCAACGCAATGTGCTTCTTCAGCACATAATCTAATCAAGATTCTTGATGCCCAAATCTCTATGGGGAGCCTGGTTGCCTGGTGGTACAATATTAGCTGTAAGTGCTGAGTACCTCGCCTTTTCGCCTCAGACTGATAAGTTTTAGACCTGCACACCTGTGGCAGCACACTGTTAATGGCGCAACTATCCACCCTCAACGATATGGCATTATCTAGCCAGTTGTCGGGTAGCTGGGACACTTGCTTACAGTGCATCTCGCGCTACGCCGGTGTGAGCAGCATTGCAAAAAAGTCGGTCCGCCTTTTGGAGAAAAGCAGACAATGCCTCCTAGCTGATGGGTTCTCTCAAAGGGCTATCCTAGGGCACGACCTGCCCGCCACAAGCCCGGCCATGACAATGCTGGATGGCATCTCTCACCTTCGTCCGCAACATATTGTACCCCAAAGCAAGGCGACAAGTGCCCATGAAACCTATCAGCTGAATAAAGACCTGCTACCTATAAATAATGCCGGGGAGAGTTTCTTCGATCAGGATTGGCATTTTACACAGCCTAAGGCCCGTACAGAGCAGCAGTTTCTTGTGGACGAAATGACAGAATCAGCAAGCGATGCACCGCATTATGACGGGACTAATGGGATTCTGTGGGCTGATGAGACCTGTGCAAGTTCATATTGGCCTTTTATGCCGTATCTTTCCCAATTGGAAACACTGCCCTCGGACTTCGACCCATCAAATCTCGAATAAAGGCAGTTCTTCTGGAAGTCTAGTAGTGCCTACTTTTTGAACACCCATTTCTCAAGCTTCCATGAGGATACTGAATTTTGACATCGAAATTACGACCGGGTGCATGTACCATATTTATTCTCAATAACCACAGTCATTCGAACCTACTACTTGAATTGGAGCATACCACTGAATATGACAAGACTAAGCAAGCAAGTTGCTCCTCACCTTGCTTAATATAAAGATATATTGACCAGTAACTTACCCATAGTCTTCCGCCCTTCGAGGTCCTTCATGACAGGCAAGATCAGTACCGAAAATGATGGTTAAAGAAATGACTTTGAGGAATCTCACCTTGTGCGCTTGTTGTATTGTATCCAGTGGGTACACCTTGTGTATATTTATTTTGAGATTATCTCGAATAATCAGGTTGAATAATTTCTGGGCGTAAAATTCAAACTCTTCTCTAGTGTCGATGTATCCTAGCAACGTTGGCCGTGCGACCTTAACGCATTTCGGCGAGAGACGGCTGCATTCTGTTAGTTTGCACAGTCAAATAGCGGGATAAGCGTTGAAAAGAAGAAACTAATGAACAAACTTACTTAAACGGCAGAGGTGGAACAGGACCACTTGCGTTTCCGAACCAGATGACGGTCCCCTTCCTCTTCACGGCCTCAAGACTCCCCTCCCATGTGTCCTTTCCGACAGAGTCAAACACCACGTCGACTCCCCGACCTTCGGTGATGCTGTTGACAATCTCAGGCCAATTTTTCCCCTCGACACTCCGATAGTCAATAACGTGGTCTGCACCTAGACTCTTCACCAAGGCAACTTTTTCAGGGCCACCGGTAGTACCGATGACTTTCGCACCGATTTTCTTGAGAATCTGGGTCATGATGAATCCTACACCACCAGCGGCAGCATGGATCAAAGCCCAGTCGCCTGATTTGACTTCGTACGCCTCATGTGAGAGAGCCAGACATGTGAGTCCACTGAGGAAAGTAGCAGTAGCCTGCTCATCGGAAATGCCAGACGGTAGCTTAATAGCCTTGGCAACGGCAACTGCCGTGTACTCAGAATAGCCGGCGGTGCCGAGCCAAATGACTCGATCGCCAAGTCTAAGTCCGTGGGTGTCTGTGTTGGGTCCGACAGCCACGATTGTACCGGCTGCTTCACGACCGAGAATCTCAGGCTTTGGGGATGGGTAGAGGCCCTCGCGGAAATAAATGTCAATGTAGTTGATTCCCGAAATGTGGTTTTTCACCAGGACTTGGCCTTCTTTCGGAGTTGGAACAATGCCGTCGGTACGATAATGCAGGACTTCTGTGCCGCCTGCCTCATCGACGACGACTGCTCTTTGGACGGTTGGCAACGACATGACGACGATTGGGATAAACTAGATAGAAGTCACGAATAGATATATAATTTCTCTTACTGGATTGCAAGAACTTAAAAACAATTTCGTAAGAGATCTAGCGGAGGACTGGACAACATTCCATTGGCTGTTTCGATTTCCATAGGATAGATGCACTTTCCAGCGGACCTGCGGAGTTAAGGCGGATGCGCTGCGGCGCACTCTACACGCTCCCCGGCGTTAATTTGACCGCTTGAAATCCCCACGCCTATTTGATAACGCCCCTGCTGTTCCCCAAATCTTCATAATTACGCTTGTTACTGCTAGGTGCCAACTTCCGACTCAGCATGGGTGAATGCTGCCTCAAAGGCTTTCGCTGGGTTGCCCAGCCAAAGGGCCACGAGGCCAAGCTCGGAAACAACAGCTGTTACGTGACTGGATCAAATTCCAAGGTCGCAATTATGATCATTCATGATCTCTACGGATGGAAGTTCCCCAATATTCGCGTTTTGGCTGACCACTACGCGGAGGAAGTGAACGCAGTTGTATACGTACCGGATTTGTAAGGGCTGTTCCCCGTGTATCAAATTTTTGCTAAATAACATTCCAGTTTCGCCGGCGAGGAGCTCCCATTAGCTATCCTACAAGACCAAAGCCAATGGCATAAGCTTGATCTCCCCGCATTTATCGGCCGACATTCCAAGAAGGCCCGGGAGCCTGAAATCATCGAGTGTGCCAAAGCCCTTCGCTCCCAGTACCAGCGCACCGGAGCCGTCGGATTTTGTTACGGAGGCTGGGGAGTGTTCCGTCTCGGAGCCAAGGGTAATGCTCTGGCAGACTGCATTTCGACGGCGCATCCAAGTTTCCTGGAAAAGACCGAGATTGAAAACGTCGGCGTGCCCGTGCAGATCATGGCCCCGGAGTTTGACCCCATGTTTACGCCAGAATTAAAGGCTCATAGCAATCAGATTATTCCAACGCTCGGGGTTGCTTATGATTACCAATATTTCCCGGGGCTGGAGCATGCGTTTGCTGTGCGAGGGGATCCGAAGAATGCGGGTGAGCGGAAGGGGATGGAAAGAGCAAAAACTGCCGCAGTTTCCTGGCTTAAACAGTGGTTATATGATGTCTGACGATCAAGAAGCTTTTTTAGACAAATGAAGTGGATTCAAACAAGAGTACATGCCAAATTGATCAATTCTGACTACTTGGGGGAGTATTTTAGCCTGTAATTGTAAACTCGTCCGAGGGGGAGAAGAGATATGTCGAGATAAATGATTTGGTCCGAATCAGAGTACATGAGAAATATTGCGATTCTTGAATTAGCACTTCATCAGTCCTGAATTATTTCCTCCAGCGCAAGTTCCTTCCTACAAAGCTCTATGCTATCGTCCTGGAGATGCTGATAGAAGTCAATCTCATCTAGAATTGTGCAACCCAAAATACTCTCCAGCTCGGCTGCTCTGGAGGCAGTCTTCTGGATAGGCGATGCTGTAGACTGATCAAGAAGATTAGACTTGAAGATTCCAGCCGCAGAGAGTGGCAGAAAATCTTCGTAGGTAATTGGCTCGTATTCAATGTGTCCCAGGTGTAGCAGATGCGTGAGTGAAACCCTCGAAGTCAAAATCTCTTCTCCCGTTGCCTTCCTTCCTGCTTCGGTTACACTGTAATGAAAGTAGACAAGCCCACGGACTCGAAGCTCCTCCCATGTATCAGGGAACTTTCGAAAGGAGTTGTGGAGAATGTCGCTAAATTTGTGACCGGAAACATTGGCTGCAGTTCGAACTGCAAAAGAGTGCAATTGGTCGTAGAGCTCACGTCCTTTTTTCGTCACAGCTGCACCGCGCTGCTCGACTTCACCGAAGCGCGCGGTATGGGTGCCACGGACTGCTTGGCTGTCGCCTGTGGCAAAGTCTACTCGCTCTTCAAGAGCTTGGAAGCTCGTTTGACGCAGCAGAATAGGACACTGTCGTGTTGGGGGGCCCTCAATCACTTCTTTTGCTGGAAGGCCCCGTCGAATCATCTCCCGCTGAACATGGTCAATATCAATGGTTCTCGGAGTGAGATGGTTGATATGGGCACTAGGAAAGCAGACGATATCGGCCACTATCGCGTGCTCTGCTTTCAGTTTGAGGTAGTTGTCAATGGAGACTGTTGACTTGGAATGCCATTTGAAAACTTTCAATGCCTCAGTGATAAAATCATTGACTTCCTGCGCGGACAACGTGTTTTGGTTTTCCGCATGATCCAGGATCTCACTCAACCGTGGCGTAAATAAGTTCCGTTGACTCAAGATGTCATCGACTGTTTTTCGAATGTCGGGAGAAATCAAGTCTTTTCGTAAGACAGTCGTGAATACCCGAAATGGGTTTTTGCTGAGGGCGTCGTTATCGATGGGCCGAAAGGCAGTGCCGTAAATAGGAAATCCGACCATATTCAGATCATAGTATCCCACGGGATGCATGCCAAGAATGGCAAAGAGCCGTTTGATCATTCGCATCTCGTGCTCCGTTCCGAGTCGGATCGCACCATGGCGCTCCAGTTGATTGCGAAGCGGGAGTTCTTTGGGATGTTCCCCTTGTGCCTTGAGCACGGAGCTATCGACATCTCTCACGATTTGGACCAGATCTCCATAGAGAGGGACCTCTGTCCGATACATATCGGACAGCGCTTGGGTGAATCTGGTCCGGAGATCATCCGCATTCCAACTGGAAAATTAGTTAGCAATAATTCTTCCCTCCAAAAGGTGAAGTGACTCACCCCAATGGTTGCATCTTGAATTCTCTATACCGGTTATAATCAAAAATCAACTACCGAGGAACGAAGTCTACGTCCGTCGGTACCAGTCCTAAATATCTACCAGTCCTAAATATCTACCAGTCCTAAATATCTACGGAACTTACAAATTTCACATCTATGGGGGCGGAACGAATCGGTGCTCTGTGTTCCACGATTCTCCACTGAAGCGCATTTAGTCTGCAAAGTATAAATGGTTGCGGAGATGTTGCGGAATATCCGCACTAACATCCTAGGCTCACATTTGTAAAGGTCATCGAAATGTGTTCATATTTCTCTCTATCGTCCTTTTCTATAAGGCTATCTCATCTTTTTGCCCTATATCATTCATCCACAATGTCTTCCTGGGAGCGTCTGATTCGATTTGAAGACCAGACTGGCACCGAGCAGTTTGGAGAGCCGATTATCCGCGCCGATGAGGCCTCCTCCCTGGATGAATTGGTTGCAGGCGGTAAATTGACGGCGAAATGCCTGATTGGATCCGACATCTTTGCCCTGTCTGCTTCAATCAATGTGGCGAAGGTGAAGAAGATTCTTCCCCTGCTCTCGCCCAGTCAAGTCCCACTCGTGAAATGTGTCGGCCTCAACTACATGAAGCACAGTAAGTACCACCGGATTTCTTCATACCCTCAGGTTGTATTAATTATATGCAGTCAAGGAAGGAGGTCGCAAGCCTCCTCCATATCCTTCGATCTTTATCAAGCCCAGTGCCTCTGTGGCTGCATACAACGAGGATATTCCGATTCCCAAGCTGGCACAAGATGACCAACTCGACTATGAGGGTGAGCTGGCCATTTTTATTGGAAAGACCGGAAAAGATATTCCCAAAGATCAAGCCCTCAAGCACATCGCGGGATTCATCGTCACCAACGACGTCTCCGCCAGAAAGTGGCAGCGGGATCCCGCTTATGCCGGTGGCGTTCCCCAATGGTGCTTCAGCAAGGGGTTCGACAAATTCGCTCCGTTGGGACCTATGCTTGTCTCTCCCCAAGTGCTTGGAAATGCTGGAAACCTCCAGCTTCGGACCTTTGTTAACGGCGATTTACGTCAGGACACAAACACGAATGACCTGCTGTTCAATACCGAGGCCATTGTTTCGTTTGTCAGCCAGGGTACTACCTTGGAGGCGGGTACCGTAATAATGACTGGTACTCCAGCTGGTGTTGCTATGGGTATGAAGGAGCCTCTGTGGCTGAAGGATGGGGATGTGGTAGAGGTAGAGATTGAAGGCCTAGGAAGCGTGAAGAATAAGATGGTCTTTCTGTAGATATCGTTTGACTGAATAGTTACAATATTCATTGGCCTTTCAAAGCAGGATATACCATCTCATTATGTCATTTCTCCAGATCAAACTGTCTCGTAACTAAAGACACCGAAAGGAAAAACGAGTCTGATGAAGCTAGTGCCCAGGCATTGTCTCGAATGATTTTACGTGATCAGCGGCGACGTCTACCTTTCTGGAGGCAAAAAACTCGACCTTGTATGGAAGACGACTCAGACTGAATCATGCATCAGCACACTTCCATGGAAGAATATTTCAAGCAAAATATCACTTACCCATCTTCGAGCAAAGACGTGCGGACAATGAAATGACTTCCACCATGCTTCATAGGAATAGTCCACAGAGTACAACCACACTGGGAGCAGAAAACTTTGTGTTTCTCATTGCCACTTAGATTGTCTTTTAAGATCCAAGTCTTTAAGAGTTCTGGGTGTTGTTTGAGCTCAACATGCTCCTTCTTGAATTTGGCAGACTAATAAAGGTCAGCATGACGTAGAGTGATGAGGAGCCTTTAAAGGTGTGTGAGCTTACTATTTGACCAGTGGCCCCGGCATTTTTGGAGCAATGAGTACAGTAGCAAATGAAGACAACCTCTGGTTCGCCTTTAACACAAAACTGAACACCTCCGCAGAGGCAGGCTCCCTTCATGCTTGGCACCATGACGGTTTTCGGATTATTTCGGTGCTTTCTAATCCTTGGGATCAGAAGAATTCTAATGCTTCTCAATCGTCGGCTTTTATTTGCCGAGTCTCCCTAGTTGTTAAGCTGCGGCATCATCCGCCATCTCTCCGCAACACTCCCGCCTACCCTGATAGAGGCGAAGCGGCTCCGCTATCTCACTAGTATAATAGTCCGGGTTACTCAATAGTATGGAATAGATTATACAGCTTACTAGCAATCAGATTCAAGCAAAATGCCTCCCACTACCAACTCCTCCGTGCAACACTACTACGACTCGCTTTCAAGCAAAGATGTCTCTCCCCTCTGGACTGTCCTCGACAAGATGGTCCCTCCCAGACCAAATCCTCCTAGCACTGTTGCTATGTGGCGATACGACTCTCTGCGACCTCCGTTGATGGACGCGGGAGAATTGGTCACAGCTGAGGAAGCAGAACGTCGAGTGCTTATGCTCGTAAATCCGAGTCGCGAAGCACCTTATACGACAGACACCATCTACGCCGGGCTCCAACTGGTTCTTCCTGGAGAGACTGCCCCCGCCCATCGCCATATGGCATTTGCCCTACGATTCATCATCGAAGGCTCTCATGGCTTTACCGCTGTTGAGGGCGAGAAGCTGATGATGGCGAGGGGAGATGTAATCCTGACACCGACTTGGACCTGGCACGATCACGGCAGCGAAGGAACCGGTCCTATGGTCTGGCTGGATGGTTTAGATCTTCCTCTTTACCGATTTCTGCCGGTCAATTTTGCAGAAAACTATGAGAAATTGAGATACCCCAGCACGCTTACTGCTAAGAGCAAGCTGAAGATTCCCTGGTTGACGGCTGCAGCCAGTCTTGATGCTGATCTCTCCACGTCCTATACAAAATACGAGTATCGGTTTGAGGATGGATCCCATCTCTCGCGAACTCTCTCAGCACAGGCGGAGCGAGTCGCTGCTGGAAGTACAACGGCAAAGTCGCAGGAGACCTGCTCGTTCGTGTACCATGTCTATGAAGGAACCGGATATTCCAGTATTGCAACTCCTGGTGGGAAAGAGGAGAAGGTTGAATGGAAGGAAAAAGATACATTTAGCGTGCCAGCGTGGAGCAGCATCTCGCACACCTGTACGATGCCCAATGGGCAGGCATATTTATTTGCTATAAATGATAAGCCGATCGTGGAGGCTTTGGGGCTATGGAGGAAGGCGTGAACTCTTGTTTTAGGCTTAAAAACGATCAAATTCATTCTAGTTAAAATCCCTTGATGTAAATTCTTCGGGTTCTAGTTTCTGTATCCCCTACTGAATGGTCGAAAAACGCCCGATGGTGGCCACACTCCACTGCAATCACGGAAAACCTAGCTTGATATAAAATAGACATAAATGCATTTACAGGTTTCATCTGCGTACTCCATTGTTGTACACTTTTATGTATGTTCAAAAACTGACTGCAAGATCCAGAATCCATATATTTGAAGCAAGTTGGATTGTATTTGAACCACACGTGCAAACTCCAATTATATATAATCCGTAGTTCCAATCAAGGGCTTCCCAGACGCCATTGTCTCCATAAAAGTCTTTGGAGATTCCTTCTCAAAGAACATCTCCCCACTCAACAGACTCCTCGAGATGACATCAACCGCAAAGGGGAACATCTCCTTCTCATAGGCCATAATTGCCTGCTGCGTAATTCCCAATTCCTCTAGCTTATGAGCAAGAATCACCGAGTCTCGCATCGCACAGTTGGCTCCGTCTCCAACGAATGGTGTAGTGACGTGCGCCGCGTCGCCAATAAGGGTGACACCAGGGACAGACTCCCAGTTCAAACGCTCGGGTGGCATGTAATACATCAACCACTGACGGAAAGGGCCGTCACTCTGCCGGATGATATCCTGCATCTCTGGTGAGTAGGATCCGAAGTATTCCTCCTGGAGGAGGAATTTCTTTGCCACATCGAAATCGGAGAAATCCACCTTTCCGCAAGTGAGGAAATTCTCGGGCTCTTGAAGACCGATGTCGACACGGTAATGGCCATCGCCTTGGCGAGAGTTGAACATGTGCTTGCCATCTCCCATGACTATCATGGAGCCCATGCCGGCAAGTGACTCCATTTTAGGGTAGAATGGATTATCTGGGAGGATTTTCGTCGTGATGTAAAGCTTGTCGGAGTAGACTGGTTGGGCAGAGGTCACCTGAGTCACGTTAACAGAGCATAGAGGTAAAATTGGAGGGCACGAATCCGTACCAAATGCCTGATCTTGCTCGCCATCCCGTCAGCCCCGACGATGAGCTTGAAACCAGATGCCGTGGTGCCATCGGTGAAGGTGATTACCACCTGGCCATTCTCGTCTCTCGCCGCGCTCTGCACGGCCTTGGACCAAACGACCTTCTCATCGGGAATTCCAGTCAAAAGCACCTTCCGAATAGCCCAGCGATCAATTTCCGGTGCATCGCGGCCTTCTCCAAACCTGAAGAGCTGCTCACCCTTGTGGTTGTACAAGATATGGATGGTGGCGTCGCCGACGCGCGAGTGCTTCTTGAACTCCTCAAACACACCACCCTCACGCATGGCACGCTGACCGCTGCCAGGATGTAAATCCAAACATCCTCCATGTGGAGGAGCGTTCCTCTGAGTGCGCTCGTAAACAATGTAGTCAATGCCCTTTTGCTGCAAGATAGCTGCAAGAGCCAAGCCCGCAGGACCACCACCCACGATCGCGATTTGTGGTGCCATAGTTTTCCAGGGATAGAGATTCGAGAAATGAGAAACAGTGTGGAAAAGCTAGCCTACCCCAGGAAATGCTTCCTCAAAAGTCCATCCTCCAAGAAGCTTAAAAAGGGGTCTCTGGAACTTCGCGGATATAAAGACCCACTCATTACTGCGGAGTTAATGCGGATGCAGGACGGAGATGTTTGCAACCGGAATCTACCTCGGTTTGAGCAGAAGATATTGCCAGAAATGTGTGAAATCAGTTTGCGGGGTATTCTGAAACATGGGTTAGCCTCGAACTGATCCCCCCACTCCCCGAGTCATCCATGGCACACAGAGTTGCGAGTTTTTGATAGTTTCACTTGACTGGAGAAACTCCAATTTCTGGTTCACATACAATAAAATTGCTGGTTTCCTAGCTAAAATGTTCAGCTGTATGACGTATACTTCGAGGATAGGTCACGTGCGGTGAGTTAGCTCAATTAGGATACGGGGGTGGTAGTCTTTCTAGTTATTCTCTCTCTCTTCTGTTTTATTCCTTAGTTTAGGACTTTTCCAAATAGTATACGAATTATCTCGTACTAGCCTATAATATACATGTCAGATCTTCTTTCCTTTTTCCTTAGTTTTAGAGGCCTAGTAGTATCGATATACTATCATCGTTATAAGAGAGTATCCCATAAGTAAGACCTATATCCTAATCGAATGAACTACTAAACCGAACTAACACTACCACGCTCATCCGACTAATTATAGCTAGAGAAACCCTGACCCTAAGTTACCGCGGTTAACGCGTTACTAATATGTATAGTACTAGTCGCCTTAATAGTAACGAAGAAATTCCTCTAGGTCTAATTGATTTTAAGAATAATGAAATAAAAAAATCTGTCGGCCGGCGGGAGGGAGGTGCTACCACGGTGGCTTCGTGTGGTTCCCCCCTTTGTCGGACCGTTGTTCTTATCCGACTAGACTAGGACTGACCTAGTCGGACAAAGTCCTGCACTCCAGCACCAAAGGGATGTAGATCTTCCCACCGAATTACGGCCCTGCCATGAACATCTGCCAGACATCCATCAGTTTATCAAACAGCTCTGGCTTGACGAGCGCCTGCAATGCATATCTCCTTCCAGTTTTCTCAGGTGCTTCACTAGCAACAAATCCCGACAGATCTTGATCTCCTTCCATTGGAGCCTCGTATACCATCGAGCCCTCTGCAGTCCCAGGTTGGTACTCTGCCCACGGCTTCTCCCCATTAACGAAAGTGGTCAGGTCCGCGGCAAATCTTTCGGCACTGAGCTGTTGCCCGCGTGAGAGGTACTCTGCGTAATTCTGCAGCACAAATGCAATATCAAGAATATGCGTGGCATGACCTTTCCATGGTCCATCCCAGGGATTGGGGCAGTTGAAATTATACAGCAGAGCCTCTGTCTCTGGGATAGATGACAAACTCCATGCCTTGGTAAATGACTGTGCTGCTACGGCAAAACACACGTCGTTGCCAAAATTCAAAACATTTTTCGTCGATTCCGGGGTGTTGGAAGAAGATCTTGGACTCAGATCGTATGCTGCGGCGATAGCTGATGCAATTTTTGAATCCACATTTTCAAACGCAGTGGATAAACACTTGACAAGAGTTTGAGAGAAGATATCGGTTCTTGCTCCCAGACGAGGAGCAAGAGCCATTGCCTAGTGAAGTTAGGATGCCGATCAGTGTGATTTCCAAGACAGAAAGCCTATGAGGACAACTTACATCCATTTGACAGTCACCCATGATGATACGCCTGCAATGCTGGATTCCTGGAAAAAGTCTCTTTACTTCAGCATCATCGGCCAGGGTTTTGAAAGTGGTAATCTCAGGAATGAAGTCGCCGTCCACCATGGGTCCGAGGGGTATTTGGCGTCCAACTTTGGCCGTCAATTCGCTCATCGGGACTTCAAGGATCCTTTGAACCTGCTCTGCAGGTGACAGATCTTGGATTTCAAATATATCTGCAATCCTTGCGAAGGATTTCTCCAGCATTTCCGGTGTACGAGCGCGTAGCAGCGATGTTCCACTCATTCCGATTAGTTGATGGAACAAGAGCTCGTTAGAGTGAAGGTGAAAGCATCCAGATGCTATTCGAATCAGCACCTGGTGCCTGAAATTCAAAGGCTCTGAAAAGAAACAACGCACCACCACCTGCACTCTCTCCAATAAATGTAACCCGGTCAGGATCGCCCCCAAAGCCACTGATATGGCGCTTGACCCAGCGGAACGCTAGTCGCTGATCATCCAAGCCGTTGTTAGGCTTATACCCTGCTGCTTTCATAGCAGCAGAATGGAGAAAGCCGGGGACTCCAAGACGGTAACTGATCCATATCAGCAAATGTTCATGGGAGCACCAAGTGAGACTTACTTGACTGCAACAACAATCATCGGCTTTTTCAACTCAAGACTCTGGTTGGTAATCCGAGCAAGGTCATATTGGGGATACGAGCTACTCCCAGTGACAAAGGCACCCCCATGAACCATGACTAGTACCGGCAACGGGTCAGTATCCTTCAAATTAGGAACTGCAATGTTCATAGTCAAACAGTCTGTGTCGGACTGGGGGTATTCTGGAAAAGGCAGCGAGTGCTGAAGTAGGGTTTGCTCCCATGCACATCCATTTGCAGGACTCAAGGGAATTGGCCTACATATGGATAGATTAGTCACCGGTAACGGGAAGGTTATCTCAAACGCACCCTAGTTTGGTAGCATCGAGCACTCCATCTCTATTGAGATAGCCACGATCGTATGTCTCAAGGAGCACTCCGCGAGAGAAACGATCCTTTAAAGTTGCATATTGCACACCGAGATACTGGACCACCGTAGGTACATTATTCAGTCCCTTGATGGGACCGATTGTTGGGTGCTGTTTTGTTTGGTATGCCATAACGTCAGTAGATTGAAATCTTCGATATCCGCAAAAGAATGAATGAGGTAGTTAGTCAGTTTTTCAACTGATGAACCCACACCCGCATCTCCGTTACGGAACCGAGGACCGATTCCGAGGCACCGCGTTGATATGCCATGCCGCCTTAAACCCGCACAGGCTGAATCATCCCGCCGCTATCCCCGACGCCCAGACGATGTCGATGCACAAAACATATGAGCATGATTTAAGACCAGGAGATGATCCACGGAAGAAATCAACATCCGTCTCAGAAGCTCTTTCAATCAATCACCAGTACTTGTCAAGATGACAACCTCGACCGACAAGCTGATCAGTCCCTCCTGTATCGGCCACTTCGGGCTGCGCACTACCCCCGAAAAGTTCGAGGAGATGGTGAAATGGCACCTGAATTTTTTCGGCGGTACTATCACTCTCCAGAACCAAAAGGCTGCCTTCATTGCCTACGATGACGAGCACCACCGTCTGGTCATCGTCAACGACCCGAGCCACAGGCACATCGACGATCGGAAGACTGCCGTGGGAATATATCACATTGCGTTCACATTAGACAGTCTCTCCGATCTAGTAAGGAGCTACGAGCAGAAAAAGGCGCTAGGGATCCTACCGCATTGGCCCGTAAACCACGGCATGAGCACGAGCATGTACTACTTTGATCCGGACGGAAACGAATTCGAGTTACAGGTGGATAATTTCCCGACCCCGAAAGAAGCAATGGAGTTCATGAAGAGTGAGGAGTACGCGCAGAATCCGATTGGGGTGGATATTGATGTGGATGAGTTAATTCGGAGGGTGCGCAGTGGCGAGGATGAGGCGGAGATCAAGAGGCGGCCGGTCATTGGACAGCGCTTGTCTCGCTGGGAGAATTCGATCTACTTCAAGGAGTAGTTGTGTTATTTACGATTACCATTTTGTATAGAGGTCGAGAGGAAATTCCATGCTTATCTGCAGAATGCATATCTGTAGATGGAATTGTGATAGATCTGACCAGAATCCAACGAATGAGGTGCGGCTCTCGGATCATCGGATATAAGTCTCTGCAAGGGTCGGCCATACTACGACATTGACTATCACTGACCTGGGCCTTCCAACATTTTGCACCGCTCATCCCCCATCTCAAGGTGGGGAAGTTTATCGGGTCTGTGGGTGCGTCTAAGGGTCTCAGGATGGCAACGCGCGTGTACAGAAAGACTGATGCACAAAAATCCTAGAAATCCGGGGTAGGAACCGATATTAAGACTCGACTCATTTTCTGAGAGAAATCTTGGGAATTAAGACCTGCATTCAAATTTGCTAACTCAATTAGCATTATATGCTTCAATCAATGGCTCAACGCTCTAAGCGCGTCGTACTCTTCTAGGGTACCTCTTAGAAGTAGGACCCCAATAACTGGATGAACCTTGTAACGAAAGAATCATCTTCAGGGTCCATTGCCCCTACTTGTCTCTGGATCCAGTTATACGCTTTTATTTTGAGTAGTTCCCACTTATCCTTTGAATCGAAGGCTTTTTTCTCTAGGAAGTGGCCTACGAGGGCGGTGGTAAGTATATTAAGCTATTCCTCAGGAACTTCTGCCTGATTGCTTTTCTCGACCTTGTAATAATCATTGATATCCAAGAACACATTATTGGTATTTGGAAGTTTGTCAGCAGTTGGCCACGCCATAAATGTCTTAGACTCTGGATCGTCAGCTAGATCGGTCTCGATTTCGGGTACAACATAGAATTTGTATCGGCTTCCGGAGGTGATCTCGTACATCATCGAGCCGAAGCGAGCAATGTCGAACTTGGCTGAAATGAAAGTCTTCAGATACGAGGTTGGCCATGTCCTCGTCGTTTGGAACAATAACAGACTCGGTAAAATCGCACATCTGGAGCGAAAGACTCTCCTCGAGCAAGAGATTTCGTGTCGCGATGTCCGCAACCAATACCCGCCGCTCGTGTACTCGACGGATGATGTATGCGGCTTCCTGGAGCCATCTTAATCGTCGAATGTTGTCCACGCTATCACTACGAGCGCGCATATAGCGACTGACTGACCCCTAGCGTAGATATGGCATTTGAATCTCGGTGTCGGAGACCCGACAGGGTTGTATTACGCCTGGGACATGCCCAAGATGGCAATATACAAGTCCCTCATGCTTTAGGACTCTATGTTCTGCTCAGTCATTTGCTCCCAGCCGATGATTGTTGTCCCGGACGCGTCCTCGGGCACAGTCTAAATATTGGCGGTTTTCACTGCAATGTTTCCGAAGCGCATCACGCGTCCAGCTCGGCCAAGACCTATCAGCTCGGGACCATCACTGTTGTTCATGGTTGTTGAACTCAGCGAAGACACCTCGCTTGTGGGTGGTGTGTCGTCTTTACAAGGATTTTTGTACAAACCATTGATGTCAATAAAGCGAAGTTGCTGATTGGTTGGCAACCCAATGCAAATGGGATTTTCTCAGGCATATTAGGATTCTACATGAGATATTCTTCGTAGATGGCTCTGTCGCGCGGAGAGGCTAGCAATTGCTTGTATGCTCTGAACTGAGACGCTCGGTCGCGCCGATACGCGCCTGGTCGGGGTTCACGTGACGGGGGGTTGTTGTCGGCATATATTAGATGATGTAAGCTACCTAGATCACATGATATTAGTAAGCACACACATAAGGTGCGTGCTTGGAGATAGCAGAATGGACAGACAGACACATATACTCAAGGGGACACCCATTGGTCGCTATTCCACCGCCTGATTACGTATACGGACAGTTGTGCTGTTGTCTGAGGTCTCCGCGGACTGACCATATGAGATCCAAGCTATGAGGTGTTCGGTCGCAATTGGATAGAACTGGCCATGGCTGTGGCCTCGAGTATAGCTAATCGTCGTGATCTACGCAGTCGCATGGTCGTGACTCCCGTGGAACGGTACTAGACGAAACTCTCATACAAACAGCCTATTATTTTCAAGAAAACACCACTTTATCATCTTTCGAGTGTCAGTCGTAATAAAGCCAGATATCTGAAGTCATTGCACATAATTATCTTCAATGCTGTTGGGATTGCCGGCGTTCCTTGGATTCAGTCTGCCCGTGTAAGCTTGAGTGTCTCTTCGCCTACTTGCTTCGAGATATATCTTTGCAATAGTACCCCATTAGACTACTAATTTAGACACAACAAAGACCACGAAATTCGACAAGAGGATTCTACTGTCGAATATAGGAATAGGCTGAGCAGGGTCAAGATATACAGTAGTGTTCGAAATTCCACAATATCTATAGTCAATATGGCACTGTACGGTCACGCTTCAAGGAGGTCTTCAGCGAGTGGGGGGGTGAGGGGGGGGGGGCGATCCGAGCCTCACAACTCGAAACGACCGAACTGGCTTGGACTTCTGGTCCACCGTCAATGCCGACAGTAAAATGATGATGGTGGCAGCTAACGGAGCCTGCCAACAATGACGGTGATCACGCTGCAGTTCGTGTCTCACAACGGGAAAGCTGCGGTTGTTGAGTTAACGCGGGACCGTGAACTAAACCGATCACACCGTGAAAACGTGAAAACTTGAACGTGTAACGAAGGGCACTCCTGGTGACAGAGTAGTATTTGCTGAGGTCCGATATGCCCGCTCGAATTCTCTACGTCAATCAACGTTCCTTCAACGACAATTCCCCGTGAACTTGACACACTATTCTAGTACGGCCATGGAAGTGTGATTCGTTGACTCCCAGTCTGCAGTTGATTTTTGCTCAACACGAAAGGAGTTGAGGCAGAAGGTCCAACATGCCTCACTTTGGGCAAAACTCCTCACCAAGACAGACTCGGCCAAACCGGTGCAAAATGAGGCAGATGGGCGACCAGACAACCCGGGAAGTCTATAAATACCGCCTGCTGCCCCAGTCTTCTATTGGACCAAACACTACCTGGCTTGGTCATACCGAGGAAAATCCTTAGTATAAGGAGTCATCCGACGCTCTCTTGCAGCGAACCCATGATAAGTTCTTCTACCTCTAATTTCTTCGAGCTCTTCTTAGTACTGACGCGAATAGTACACATCATGATCATTCAAGTCAGCTAGGTCCTGTTAGGCGATTAGATGTGTTGCTTCCTTCTCACACCGTGCCAGCTAGCCAAGAAGGTATAGCTTTTGCCTGACTAAAATGACTCCAACATGTCTTCTGTACGGACAAGCGCCTCTACTTAATTGCCCACCTGCGCTAATCCAACGCTAACCTCTACTAGCTTTTTACCTCTATATCTCGGAATTCAAGAGACTATTCACGCGGGAGGTATGTCTACTCTTAGCCTGAATCCATTCGATACTGTGCTGATATGGCAGATGCTGTGATCGACCCAATCTGTATGCATTGAACCGCTACAGATGGGCGCAACGAGCATCACAATCGTTCTCCGCCAGCGTCGATCGAGATCATGTTCATTGACAACCATGACATGTGAGCCAGCTATCCCTTCTCGGAACTAGTAGCTAATATCTGGCAGAACGTGTCTCTGAGCGAGACCCCGAGCGTTCGATTGCCCCCGATACGAGTTAGGAAACCTTCTTGGGATACTCTCTTCAAATCTACGCACTCGTCGACAATGTCTGGCATGACTCAGAAACTCTGGCAAATCGCCAGCAACAAGACTACAGATGGGCTCCACCACGGCTTTTCAACTGACGCCATGCCACCGCTGCAGCTATCTCGCACGGGGGCTGATCGTCGAGCAATCAGGTATGTCTGCCAAGTGCCAGTGGCCCTGGATCGTTCCCTCCGATCGTCGGCCAGTATTCAGGGTGGAAATCTAGAACGGCCTTGCATATTCGCAATGACGAGCTCGTGGTCCATCGTAATCGGGCGTTCGCCGGCCGACTCAAGCCAAGGGCGATATCTGTGTTGTCTCAGCAGTCTGCTGACCACCGTGAGGTGCGTGCCGGGTCAACAGAGTCGAAGATGAAGAATTGTGAGTATAGCCTCATACCACCCGAAGCATACTGACGTATTTGAGGAGCCACTTGCCAAGTGGTGTAGGATTGCCAAGTCTGCGGGACATGCCGCCCTTGGACATGTACAGCACGCGTTTTGCACACCCTCACCGCCTTGCCGCGCGACGCGATCGATCTGCCTGGCCATGTTACTGAGGATGACGTGCGGCCACTCCCGACCGAGACGTCCTCGAGACACCACTCGATCTTCCATCGATTAGCCGTGGTGAGCCGACAATGAGCACTGACACCATGTGATATATTGCCTTATGACAAGCGGCTCAACGCCAGCGAATTTCCCCGACTCCTTTCAGCGAAACGAGGTCGAGTGACCTACACCTCACGATCTCAGGCGGGCAGTCCTCCGTGCCAGTCTCTCTTCGCTTCTCCGATTCGTCTTTTTCACCGATGTCCCGTCACCCGCACGGCCTAAACAATGACAATGAATATCCACGGCATTGGAGCCACGTCCTTGCACTTTGTCAAATGATCCGCGATCGAAGCAAGCCGATCTGCGAGACTCCATGATGGTCCCGACTTTCAATGTTGACCTCGATGACTACGTCAAGCCCAGTATGCCATATGATACTCTCTTCGTTCACACGATCATCCACCCGACACGTGCCTCGGAGCATGCGACGGCTGCCATTACAAGAGATACACGCGACGGGTTCGAGAGGCTTTGGCTGGTACTGTACAACGGCAGGCAAGCGCTCAGACGAGAAATTGGACGGTGGAATCAGCGTGTTCAACTTGACCACCCCTGCGCTGACTATCGGCGTACCAAGCACAAGAAGTGTATCATTTCCCCTGCGGTCCCAAGCAAAACTCGTGCCGTCTCTTGAAATATCGAGCGGATTCTAGGCGTGCGAGAGCAGCGCCAAGAGGATAAAAGAGAGCAACATTCCAATTGGCGCATCTTGGCCTTCTCGAATCCCGGAAGACTCTTGGACGCGTTGCGGCCGCGGCCGCAAGTTCATCACGTGATGCAAGGGGTTCAGCTTGGATCCTGCTGAAGAAAGTCGAATTCAAGATTCCAAAACTAACACGCAACTTTTTGCATGATTGAAAAATAGAGGATTTTTTGTGTTCGGCGATACCAGTATCACATGACGGAACGGTGGTGGGGGGAGAGCTACGAGAGAAGTGATTATGGACGAATCAGGGCAATGACAACCCACGACGGCCATCAAGACAGGATAGACGGCCACGCTACGAACCTCCGAATGATTGGTTCTTTGTTGTTTGTGTATAAAGAATGGCCCCGCGGGAGAAAGTCGGCTTTCTTTGCTCGGAATTGATGGCATACTACTCTATGTTTTACATTGTTCCGTGTTGCGGCCTGAAGGGCTGTCTCGAGCTTGGTCTCTACAAGACGCTTGCATTACCCCCACTGGGGACATGGACGGCCGGTCCAGCTGAGCGAACCGATTGCCGTTCATTGAACCTGCAATTAGCCCGGAGACACCGGATTAAGGCATTGCCTTGATGTCAAGGCTGCATGGTTAGCTCACGACCTGAAAATCAGATGTTTGAAAAGCGTCGCGGAACACGTGCCATTGACCATGCAAGCGATGATTGCAGACGCTTCGGATATGTACGATGACTGAGACATTCTCTGCGACCCTTTAAATGCCAGGATCAAGTTGGTGCTTCTGCCACGTTCTTCTTCCACGGTCCGCTCCGACAATAATCAGACGCTCTCATTCCGTTTTGCACTGGGCATACCAGATCACCAAATCCATTCGAGACCATGTTCTCATCAATTAAAGAACTACCGTGTTCACACCTTCATTACACCCACCGCACACCCTGCTTTGGACACTCCGTACTTCTCTCGAACCTATTTTCCGACCCTTTGTACTCAAAACTTTGGCACAGAGTCCCCGCCAACCTTGTACAAGAGCTGAAAAACCACCTTATTTTTACCGTCGGCGGTGCCTCTGTGATTCAATAGTAAGGCAGCTGGACAGTAGCATCCCTAGCGGTCCCTACCCTTTCAGTGAGTGGGGTGGGTTGGAGGCCAATTCGCTATTGACTATCAATATTAGGCCCTGTAACGTGAAATGATCTATTGATATCAAGCTCACATCTCATGTGGCTTATTCAAAGAGGCAGAGGCGGAGGGGGCGACTGGTTATCTCCCACGCCACCAGTCCATTTGCGTCGTTTCTAATTCCCAAAATTCCAGGAGGTACACAGTGCAGATCCTTCCTCATTCGGGTGGGGAAAAGCCGATGACGACCAGACTCGCCCGCCCAAAGTCGACTCACTGGTTCAAGAGGTACTAGCTAAAAGACGTAGCAATCTATCGCCGTGATCATGGGGCAAAGAAAGTCACTGGAATGATCGTTTAGGATGAGCGGCCTACAAATGTCGCCATGGCCTGGATCCCGATGACGAGAAATAGCCATTATACATCATCCATTCAATAACTTCCCCAACATTGCAGTATTTTCGAGCAACGCTGCCCCCAGCTCTTGGTGTCGACGGTGCCTTAACTTTTGGGCTCTTCGTATCGATGGCATCTTCAATTGGAGCTCTTCAGTATGACGGCTTTTATTTGCCAGAACGTCTCAGTATTAAGCAGCTACTTTGTATAATGAGCTACATGCTGATCGCATCGAGTGAGCCAGACTCTGTGAAAAACACAACGCTTTTGGCTGAGCTCGTTCACCGAACAGCGGCGGAATGGGAACCAAGTATTGATATCGAGAGGCTTTCAAAGCTCTCTCTAATTGGTGCATTTGTGAGTTGTCTACTAGCCCGCATCAGCGTCTCCGTTCTCCCGGCTCGATGATCGTGGATGGTAAATCTCGTACCAAACGAGCAGCCACTCTCATACATGCAAGGCCGATTACATTTGTCTTTTCGGGGAGAATGGGGCCCCATCGTGGGCCCGGATGATGCCTACAGTTGGCTAAGGCTCCGGAGGGCACAGATGCGGCATTCTCTTTCTTAAATACAAGTCTTTTTGGCTGACATCTCAGGGACTGCTTATCATATTCGCCACCTTCCTCACATTCGGCCATCAAATATTATAATTTCGACTAGTCTTTATCAAACGCAGTGTATCATGTTTCCGCACATGAAATGTCGACATTGTAACATTTTCATAAGATGAAACTTTCATCGGAGATCTGGAAGCCCACGCTCCGATGACCACGAAATAAATTCCCAGAATAGACTCACAAAAACGCCAACAACCTCTGCCTTGTCCGCTCCAAACAACTTCACATACATGCACTAGCTTCTGCGAGTTCTCTATCCATTTGGAATATTCTCTACAAAATGACGAGCAATGCCCTTCCTGATTTTCTTGTTGATGAAGAAATACGGATATCGGTCTCTGTAGACCTGCTCGAGATCCAAGCCATCGTCAAGACTCACGTCGCAGGCTTGCCGGAATGCGTCCTTGAGGCCGTCATCAGTGACATGTGACTGCAGCCATTCGTTATACCATTTAACTGCTAGGTCTCTGAATCAGGGGATTTTAATGTGTTCGCAGTAGACGGTTCATCGGTCTTTCAGGAAACTTCCTTTCCAGGGACCGGAGACTGTGAAGGCAGAGTGTTTGGCATTGATTGGCGGAGACGGACCTTCCGGGTCAAGGTAAGAATCTCCCTTGCACTTGTCTTTCTCGATATTCTGTTGTTCTTCCATACAGTGCTTTCAGCCTAGTGTGTCTTAGGGCGTCAAGAAGAAGGTTCCATAGGCACGCATAATGCGCCCTATCATCTCCGTAAAGATCTGTAAATGCTTGCGGCTTGAAATTCAAACCTACGGTCTTTATATGTGAGGCGGCCAAGAGCCTCTGGGCAGACTAGAGTCTATTGCAGATTATAGGCTAATATTTTGAAGAGGGAAAGCTGCAAATTTCTATAGCAATAGTATATGGTACGTGCTGTTATAGTGTTGAAGCGGGATCCCCCAGAGACTGAACTTTCATCTCAGGGAATCACGGGCAGCAGCAGGTAGTTCTCATGCTCGTTGTCGAAGTGAATATTGTTGACTCCGGAAAACTTCTCAACAGGTCTGCAGATTTAGACTGATTAGTGCAAGCATATCGATAAGAAAGGGTCTCTACATACCGGTCGATGGGAGAGTTGTGCTTGAAAAGGCCTACACCAGGATCTGTATCCTCCGATGAGATTTGCAACACCAACCAGCCTCCCTTTTCAACGACGACGTTGGTCGGCCATAGCTCCACGTCACATTCGTAGACTACACCACTCCCAATGGGCTGGACATCGATGGATCGATACTCTCGTCGAGGAAGATATGGCCTGTGATAGGGGCTCTCCGTGTTGACCTTGCGCATACTGGCTCGCAACCACCCCCTCGCCACGGGTACTGCGTCTCCGGAAGATCCAGTGTAGGAAAGTTCCTTGCCAGCAGCAGCAAAGTGACGGAGAGTCAAGAACAGATCCAGGTCCAAATTCTCGGGTGCTGGGGTGGCTGAGCTGTCAACGGAGACAGCGAGATGCACGAGAACATGGCCAGTCACCTCGAGCTCTGACTGAGCAGGCGGCGACTTGAATTCCAGCACCTTGATTCCTTTGACTGAGGAGTCGCCCGCATCATAAGAAAGAATGGATGGTTCGGTCTGTTTCATTCTGTAGCCATCCTGCTTCAGACCCAAATCAGGAGTCAGGAAAAATTTGGTATACACCGTTCGCGCGATAGGCCACTCCATCTCATCTCTGCGAGGGAAAGTCTTCTCGCCCTCAGGGTTATTGAATCCAACATCGCCCTTCCTCAAGCAAATACTGACCGGCGGAACCTTACCAGTCTTCCACCCGGCATAATCATTGTCCTTCAAGAACGCCTCCAAAAAGCTGCGGTGCACCTCGACCTCCTCGTCATAATAGAAAGGCAAGTCGTGCCGTCCCACAATGAACCGCAGGAACTTGTGCTGCGAGCCCGCCCACGTATATCCCTCCACGTTACCACGAAGATGAAGGGTGTTGCCGCCCCAGTTCGCGACACTCAGCAGCGGCACCTCGATATCCTCGAGACGGAAGACCTTTGACGAGTGATACTCGTCGTCAAGGAAAGGGTTTGCCGCATTGTCAGCATTCTGGTCTCGGCAATTCTGCGCCAGCTCGGCAGAATCGAGGTCACCTTCGATTGTGTCCTCGCCCCAGCGTGACTTGGAGCGGTTGGGTCGGCCGTATTGATTGGTGATCACTTGCCGGTTCCACCAGAAGTTGATGAAATTGTTGGATAGAATTCCACCATGTCTGCAACGATCACGGTAGTAATCGCTCATACCCTCGTGAGGCACGATGGCAGAAAGGCCTTTAGGGCGCTTTGCTGCAACACGCCATTGGCTTCCTAGAAGATAGAGGTCAGACAGATTGAAGGAATAGTAGCGCCTCCATCTTGGATCAATTTACCGGCATAGTAGCTCACGCCCAACAAGCCGACTCTGCCACTGCACCAGTCTTGCACGGCCGTCCACTCAATTAGATCAAAGAAGCTGTTGGCGGTGCTGGCAGACATGGTATCAAGTAGACCAGGTGACTGGCCAAGACCCTGCTCGTCGGCACGGACGACAACATAACCGCGCTTGGTCCAGTAGACAGGATCCGGGGTCTCCCATGCCGAATACTTCGATTTATGGACGGGATTGACTTCGGAGAAGGACTTTTCACGAAAGCTATAGTGGAAGACACTGTTAGAATGACACTGAAGGGAACATTGGAAAGTCTCGTAGAAATAGCTTACTCTCCGTAGTAGATATCCTTTCCATATGGCCCATACGTGACAAGACTGGGGTATTTCCCCTCCACGATGGGTCGGTAGACGTTGACACGAAGGACGCCTCCGTTCCATTTGAGGGGAACGGTCACATTCTTGTGGAAGATTAATTGGTTCTCCTCGTCTACGAACGTCTCGCTGATATCACGAATTTGATTGGGCATTTTGACGGGTAATGCTCAAGTTCAAATGAACGAGAATAAACTGCTAGTCCTGATAAACAAGTGTACGAAGAACCTATACGCCTGCTTTTATTTAGATTTAAATTACTAGAAAATGAACCCAATTTTGTTCCTACGTCAGTAATTCACGGAGAGCATCGTGACTATCCGGCGGCATTCCGGTGGCGGATCCGATCCCCCCACCTTCTCCGACGGCCGTTTCAATGTGAAATACGAGGTCAAATGTTATATCCGAGCATAAGCTATGATGATATTCGGAGTTTAGATGGCGGTGATTTAACATTTTCGAAAGTCAAGTAGAATACCGAAGAGAAATACTGAAGGTTTAATTTCCCCACCATCATCAGTAGCTAAGCGTAATACATGTGGCAAATTTACCACTCCCCCACCGATATCGTATCTTGTCAATTTAGGATAGAATCTCCCCAAGGTACTCTCATAGCTTGTAACAAGTAGCTGTATTTGATTCAGTACTATTAGCCTCGTTTATGAAGTCATCTGTGCCTAGGGTGCGTCATGACCTTCACATACCGAGTTCAAGCGCACGCCGTTCAGCATGACATTCACAAAGACCCATTCCCCGATACTCGCCCCGTTCGGACGTTCCGCGGGGTCCAGATTTTTATTGACAGGTCGGTGGGGTGGAACTCGTCTATAGTTGGTAGGCCATCGCGGAGGATTTCTGCCTACAACGCGCCTCCGGGTTATCTTGACTGGCAGAGCATCGGTGCTCCCGGTCAGTTGGATATGATAATCACGGATCGAGGACGAGACTGTGGTGGTAGCGGTTTGTGTTGCCATGATTTGGATTGTTGTAGAAGTGAGTGATTTTGAGATAACTTGGAATGGGGGAAAATGAAGCTAGAATGGGTTTACGTTCGGCTTTCTTATATCCGTATTGGACTTAGATTTGTTCCGGTGGGGGATCCCGCATATCAGGAGACGCGGAGTTCGGGAGTTGAATCCATCTCCACATTTTGCGGAGTAAGCTAGGTTAAGACCGAGATAAAACGAGTATTGCTCCTCAGTCCGACAAAATCTCTCTGTCTTTGGTTACTACTTGCGCTGCCAGCTATCAATGGAAATGTTGTCCTCGGATTCTCAGTTGAAGCGCGTCTGCGCTGCAGCAACAGACGGCCGGACATCCAACGTCCGGTTCTTGCAAAGTCAGTTGAAGGTACTTCATCAGAGTATCCTGGACTCGCGAGAGGAGATCTTGGAAGTTATCGCTTCCAATCCCCTTACCACTGAGACAGAAGCCGAAGTGGAATTCTCCATGGCAATTGCCACAGTCAGACAGCATTACGAAGCAATAGATTTTGATCAAGCAATCGCCAATGAATACAAGATTGCAAAGGGGAAAAACAACACTGAGCGTCGTGTAGGCCACGGGGTGGTTGTGGTGAGACCAACCACTCACACCAGATTCTACGGGATTATATCGGCGACGGCGTGCGCTATTGCTGCTGGAAACACTTTTGTCATTGAGGTATGATTTTGAGCTCTGTGCTTATAAATGGCTCTTACCGTTGTGCCTAATTGCTAAATTTAACTTGTTTATAGTGTGGAAAACATGCCATTGATGATTTGCTCCCTTCCTTGCTCCAACCTCTGGACTTCGAACTCTTTGGCCTAATTCAAGGATCTATAACTAGTCACGAGATGCTTTCAAAAGCTTTGATCATTGATCAAACCGGTACAACAGATGCTCCTAATGCGGTCAAATCACTGCCAAATCTTCGTTCAGTTGCGGTCATTGACCGTACGGCCGACGTTGAAAAGGCCGCCCAACAAATTCTTTCCGGTCATATTGCATTCTCCGGGCAGTCGCCTCACGCCCCGGATTTGATAGTCGTCAACGAATGGGTCAAGGACAAGTTCAGCGATACGATGACTCGAGAAAGATTGCGATTAAACCGTGAGGGGCGCTCGAGTCATGCTGATAAGCATGTTGCATGGAAGAAAACTGTGGCAGATGCAGAGAGCAGGGGAGAAGCTAAGCTCATCAAGAAAGAGGGCCTATACATGGTTGATGTCCAACAAAGGTGAGTGCCCATGACTCGAAATTCTTCAAAATGGTCCACTTCTAACACGGCGTGCATGACTCAGGTCGTCTTCCATAGTCACTCAGCGTGGTGAAGGGCAATACTTGACTCTACTCACAGTTGCTAGTTTAGCGGACGCTGTTCTTACACTGTCAAACATGTTGGTTCTGCACATGCCCATACTGTGGCATACTTATTAACTATGCATAGACCCGAGTATCTCGTCGCGTACCATTTCGCTGAACCTGCCGCTGGGAAGTTCCTGAGCCAACAGATCAATAGTCATTGGTCCTTTATCAACCACATTCCTGCCCAGCTCCTTGGTAAGAAATCACAAACTATATACCGATTGAATATCCGTTCAAATGGCTGACTGGTTCCTGTTCTTTCTTTCACTTCAGTCGGACCCGCTCTTCCATTTAAGCAAGAAAACTTTTCACTTGGTCTACGATATACCAAAGAGATGTTATCGAAGCCAAGACCAGAGCTCATACAACCAATAGAAAGTTCTGCTATTGGACTGGAGGATCTGAGCAACTCCAAGTCCACCAAACTGCAGCTTCTCCGACAACGAGAGACACAGTCATTGAGAGAGACCGGCCAAGGGCCCGGAACAGCTATCGGATTCTTTGAGCAAGGCATCATCGTGGGTGCGTTGTTTATCGTCTTGCCAGTCGTCTCAGTGGTAGGGTATTCTGGTTGGTTCTTTGCCCGGAAGGCTGTGCTGCACTTTGCAGGGGGGTCTTATGGTTTTTGAAGTCTGCTGTGTGACGTTGTTTGTAATATTGTACACGAATGAGGAAAGTCCAAGTCAAACTTCAGAATGTCGAACTACACCTTTATATGTCCAAATGTATCATTACTCATTAGTTGTGGTTCACCCTTCGCATGGTTCGGTTCTCCCAAGCTCACAGGGTAAAATTTACGTGAATCCGAATCACAGACAGCTTAAAGGTATGTTCTACGTCTCAATAACGTAGTCGGTAAGCGAGTGGCCCGTGTAAGCGAGCGGCCACCACCCCAATTTTTTCGCGTCTCCACGCAACTATATATCTTCTATCCACCACCATGCCTCCAATTCGCGTTGGATCAGGCCAGGATTCCGTCCAGCAAGAAGGGCGCATCTTACTTGCTATACAAGCGCTTCAGAAGAAAGAAATCTGCTCAGTTGCCGAAGCCGCACATCAGTTTAATGTTCCTCGTACAACCCTTCAACGCCGTATCGCCGGCGCGACATATCGCGCGAATACTCGCGCAAATAGTCATAAAATGACCCAGATCGAAGAGGAATCGCTTAAGCAACGTATTCTATCGCTAGATCTACGTGGAGCAGCCCCTACACAAAGCTCACGTACGAGAAATGGCGAATCTTCTACTCGCAAAGCGTGGTTCTATCCCTATCCAAACCGTCGGCGAAAAGTGGGTATATAACTACACCCAACGCCATCCAGAGCTTGCATCTCGCTTCTCCCGACGATACGACTACCGACGAGCAGAACAAGAGGATCCAAAGATCATTCGAGCGTGGTTTAACACCGTTCAAACTATTATCCAGCAATACGGCATCCTATCCGACGATATCTACAACTTTGTTGAGACTGGCTTCGCGATGGGCCTTTGTGCGACCCATAAAGTGATCACCCGAGCAGAATACTACGGTCGGAGATCTGTTCTACAGCAAGGAGATCGTGAGTGGGTAATTGCGATCGAGTCAATTAACGCTTCGGGGTGGGCGCTTCCACCAACGCTTATCTTTAAAGGTAAGCTATACAACCAGGCGTGGTTTAAAGACCTTCCTCAGGACTGGCGCTTCGAGGTTAGTCAGAACGGGTGGACAACCGACGAGGTAGGCCTTCGGTGGCTTCAAAAGCAGTTTATTCCGTCAACAAATCATCGTACGCGTGGAATATATCGATTTCTAGTCCTCGACGGCCACGGGAGTCATCTTACGCCAGAATTCGACCAAATCTGCACAGAACATAAGATTATACCGGTCTGTATGCCAGCACATTCCTCGCATCTTCTACAGCCCCTCGATATCGGATGCTTTGCGGTGTTAAAGCGCTCATACGGTAATTTAAACACCCAAAAGATGCGGCTCGGTATCAACCATATCGACAAGCTTGACTTCCTCGCAGCTTACCCACAAGCTCGCAGCGACACATTCAAAGCAGACACAATCATCAATAGCTTCAAAGCAGCAGGATTAGTACCACTTAATCCCGAATCAGTGCTATTAAAGCTCAATATCCAGCTTCGAACGCCTACACCTCCCGGAAGCCGTGGTAGTCAATCAAGCGCTTTTAACCCACATACGCCGGCAAACGTTCACAATCTTTATAAACAAGCATCCTCAATCAAAGCTTTCCTTAAGCGACGCTCAAAAAGCCCACCATCACCCTCGCACACTGCATTAAACCAGCTTATTAAAGGCTGTCAAATGGCGATGGAACGAGGTATCTTCCTTGAGGATGAAAACCACAAGAACTTGAGGAAGCCCATGATATATCTACACAAGCGACACAAGCACTAGAAGTGCTTCATGCGCAGGATACACAAGCACCTAGTACGCGGCGCCCACCAAGGTGCTCTAAATGCTGGCAGATCGGACATAAGAGGAATACATGTAAAGCTTCAGATTAAATGAATATAATAGTGTTGTGGTTGATAAATTCAATGAAAAGTGTAAGATAAGTGGGTTGGGTGGCCGCTCGCTTACACTGGCCACTCGCTTACCGACTACGTTAACACTAACGGGATTTGTCAGCAATAATTGGGTTGCTATAATGGATGGGTATTCAGTCTCTATGACAACTGTTACTTTAATTACCAAGCGAGAGAAGACAACGAATGTCAATTCAACCACGTTGAGTCTTCAATTATAGTAAACCTCATCAGATGTACACTGCCCAAAGTAAATCAAGACCCGAAGTATACACATCAGTCATCGACCAATATTCTGCCCCCAATATAATTAATTACTCGTCAACAGCCCAGCGCTGGGTGAACTTGCGGAAACTCTTTCCGAAGAAGTAAGTCACGAAGCCAAAGCTGGTCAAAATCCCGAGTACAATAGCGCAGATGTTCAACGCCCCGTCATAACCAGACTTTCGAACAAAGGCAGTGGTGCCAAAAGAGATGCCGAAGCTGATGAAACCTCTGCCGGCACACAGAGCGACCATTGCAACGTGACCACGCTGAGGATAGCAGTCCATGGTATAGACGAACCCAAGGACGACGACACTGACGAAACTGTAGAACAGGGCATTCATGGGAATGACGACGCCTGTCCACGCCCAGTCCTCCGGGTACTGGCACGAGCGACCGTAGATGACACATGAGACGATTGCAACCGCAGAAGGTAGAATAGCGGGAATGAGTCGATACTCAGGCTGAACAAGTTAGTCAGTTTTGCTTCCCTTGCGTATAGAAATGAAGAAAGAAGTACACACCTCGCTAACGCCGTTGTTGCGCTTTGTGAGATATTTCAGAACAATGTCACTGCCATATCCGGCAATAGGCTGTACAACAAACGCAACGACCGCCTGGCCACCCATGACAAACCCAAGGTAATTTGGGTTGAAGCTGTAAGGAGGTGACATCAGGACTTGGGCGAAGACGGCGGTCATCAGAATATATGTGCCCAAGAGTGCACCACTGCACAGAACGAGCCAGAAAACTGCAGGAAACAGGGTAAGTCGACCCAGATGATACCAAAACTTGGGGATTTCTTTCCACTGGGGCTTGACCGCTCCCCATGGCTTGAGGTCATTGAAGAATGATCTCTTTTTGAAGTTAACGAAGTCTAAGTTGCGCCTCTGGGAAACAGTCAACTTGGCGGAATCATCGCTCCCACCGACTGAGAGAAACAAGAATAGACTGTCAGCAAAGCCAGATCAGTGAGGATCGAGGAAGATCTTACAAAAGCTGTCCAGTGGTCGATCGTACTTGGTCTCAACCACAAATAGGATGGAAAGCAAGAACGTGAACCCGGTGATGATAGCAAAAATACCATACCACCAGCGCCACCCAATACTGTTGCTGATATATGAGCTAGCAATAATGAAGAGTGCTGTTCCCAGTGTCTGCAGGGAGCAGAACCACGCGATGCGATTGCCACGCTGGTGCAGGAAGAATGTTTCCTATTTGACTGGTCAGAATTACACCACATAGACCGGAATGAGGATTGCGCACCTCTGCAATAAGTACACACAATGCCTCGCTTTGCCCGGCTGCCAGTGCCATGAAGTCGCGGCCACCAATGTGAGAGCTCAGACCACCCGAGTAAGAGCACCAAATAGCTGATACAATCAGGATCACATTGGAAGCCAGATAAACAGGGCGGCGACCGATGGCGTCTGCAATTGGCATGGCAATGAGATTGCCTAACCCCATGTAAAAAGCTGGCCAAGTGACTAGATCATCGACGTGGGGATCGTTGTTATAGACTTCGTTCAATTGGGGTATCAATATGCCGATTCCACTGGCTAGCAAATTACCAGTCATAGCGTCTGTGGATCATTGACTGTTAGCTGGATAGGCTCGACGAGATGAATCGCGGATTGTGGAAGAGGACGGTCACGTACAGAGGGCAACGATGACAAGGATCAGCCATTTGTGCCACTCGGGTAGATTAAGGGGATCTAGCCATAGTCAGATGAAGTCCATAGTCATCCCAATTTTTTTTCTTACATACCGTTAGGATCCGCTGTTGGTCGCGGGATCAGAATGATCTCTCCATCCTCAATCAAATTGACGGTTCCGGTGATGCGAGGCTCGGGCTTGAGATTGGTTCTCGGGTCGACGAACTCGATGAAGCCATTCTGGGCTTTGTCGTCGGCCATGTTGGAAAATAAATTCGGAGAATGAAGATGTACACAAATATTGACACAAATGTCTCCCTTGATTGTCATTGCTCCATCCTGGTGGGATCTAGAGCCTGATATACTCGTCCACGAGTGTGTATAAAGTGCGGGGGTTAGCCACCGGAATTTAGCGTCGGGGGGCAAATTGATCCCCGGCTGGCGGATAATGTGGGGGACAGACAAATCTTCTTTTTTTTCTAGTCCTTCCGCGGATCCGATTTAGTCAATCCTTCTTTATCGGATCCATCAAAATTATCATTACCATCACGTCTTGTCCTGGTCGCCTTCTATTGTGGTCACATCATGACTAGTCATCCATTCGCCCGGAGAACTCCACGTAGCTGCACGGAATGTGCTCGGAGAAAGACCAAATGTGATCATGCATATCCCTGTGGTGCTTGTACAAGACGAGGACAAGCTGGAGCATGCATCCCCCCAGATTTTAGCCCCCAGTCAATGACCCAGTGAGTTGATCCGATGCACTCGCCATCCGGGGCCCCAATCTGACCATGATTAATAGCTCGGACCAGGTCGATTCTGACAAATTGACACTCCAGCACCGGATAGCCATGCTAGAAGCTCGGCTTGGCGAATCGAGTTCATCACAGCCATCAAACCAAGCGGGCACCAATCTGGAGGGTCTTTTGGTTATGCTCGAGTCTCTCTCGCATGGGAAACCCCCTGCCCCCACCGACCTATCCGAGAAGACGACTATTGCTCCACTCTATAAACCCGGAAGGCCGGTCTTTCTCATGCTCATCCCTGATCGGACTTCCAGTCAGCAGATCGTGAACTTCGCTCTAACGAATTTGAGCTGGATTCACTGTGCGATCAGGACAAAAGTATTCCAACACGAACATGAGGCTTTCTGGCAATCCATCGAAAAGGGCAATGATACTGCCTCCGCAAATGATCATGGCTGGCTATCCGTTTACTTTAGTCTCTTGACTGTCAGTCTCCCTTTTCAATCTTTCGTATCTTGTCGACGATGGCTAACATTATTCAAGGTGGGGTTGCTATACATGGACCCGGAAGAGCGACCAATCCTACACCGTCTCAATGGTTTCGAGGAAAATGCCGGCCAGTCAGACATGGAAAGTGAGCGGGGCTGGCATATCGCTCGGATGTGGTACGAAGCCGCAATCAAAGAGCTTGAGGCTTCGAATCCATTGACCAAGGCAGACTTGAAGACAGTCCAAACAGTAGCAATATTGACTTTGGCTCACAGTCATTTTGGTCAAATGGAACAAGAGTATCTGCTCTTAGGTTTGGCAACGAATACTGCCAGAGCTCTGGACATGCACCTGCTGGCCTCCGAGGACCACTTTTCACAGAGATTGGCATCGCAGCCAAATTGGGCTACTCTAGAGAATCGTCAGTTGGGGCGTCGCTTGTGGTGGACCCTGGTAATTTGCGACTGGTAAGTATTCAAATTGAAAGGGTGTAGCATCATTATCCTAACACACAAAAGGCTAGGGATGTTTACGCGACCATCGTCTATTTCACCCTCAAGCTTCAACACGGCATTGTCACCGCAGCCATGTGACAATGATGACCTCCTTATGGAAAATGTAATGCTTGAAACCACAGATATACCGGCACTTCGGTATCATCTCGCCATGTCAAAACTCGCCAGTGTCATTTACATCAATGTAAAGGCTCCACGTGATCTTAACACAGATAAATTCACCGTGGTCCTTAAGCACGTAGAGACAATCGAAAAATCAATGGCCCGCCGAACGATCACCCTATCAACCAACACTCCCAGCTGGGTTGCAGCGCAGGAGCACCTCATTGGACACACGATTCAATTGCTCTCGGTGACCATAGCGCGAGCTTCCTTGGTTCTTTGGCTCTTGGGCCGTCCAAATACGGAGCCAATTATCGAACGCGGATTGAAGAGTGCGCTGAAAATTCTACACATGCGCCAACAGCCGGTCCCACGCTTGTATCAGTGTCATTGGTACGTTTTATAACTCTTGGAGGTTTACGGGAAAGTATGGCTTACCCTTGGCATGATTTGTAGGATTATTTCAGCCGCTACATTAGCTGCGGGAGTCTATCTAGCCGTCCATCTGATTTGTTTCAAAGAGGCAACAGTTTCAACACAAGTCACCGAGCGTCGAAGGTTGATCCGTTACTGCATCAGTGCTATTCAGTACCCCAACGCAAGCACGCCATTGGCAATTCAAGGGTCACAGATGCTCGAAATCCTTTTGCAAATAGAACTGCATAGCCCCAGCGTTGCCTCGACCGACAGGTCCACTGTGATCAATCTGTTGAAGATGGCTTTCCAGAATGAAGGGCCTTCAATTGATCCCATTAATGAATATGGCACCATGATGCCTACTGCTCTTGACTCTTCCGCAGATGAGCTTGGCCTTCTTTGGCCAACTATGATGGGTGATTTCAGCTTGGATGAGCTGCTTCCGAATATGGATTGGGGGAATATGGATGGTCAGTGGGCAGGGATGAATTTTGATTAAATGATTTATGGTTTTTGAGAATAACCTCAATGTATATGAATGATTTTGGCTCCAAAGACGCCATATTCTTTTCTTCTCGGATTTGTGTATATTCTAGAGCGATTCTGGACTAATATGCAAAATAAAATGGAAGCACGCAGAGAGAAAATCATGCAAAACGTCGTCTCCGGCTTTGCTGCTATCCCCAAGGATGGATCATTAGTAAGGCTTGACACCCGCAAGCTGCAGCAGGCGATCAGTCAGAATAGGCCTCTCGAGGGGCTCATCTCTTTCCAGAGGATCAACCTTCCCGTCAACCATAGCCTTTCCATGACCGTGAATATTGCAATGAGGCCAATGAGTGGTGGTCTCCCAACGCCCGAAGAGCTCAGCCTTCTTCTTCAGGTCTTCGGGAGTGGCATGAGAAGCAGGAGTGTAGCAGGCGTAGATGATGGTCCGGATCTCATCGCTCTCGGGGAATTTGGCGTAGTGCATAGAGCGCGAATCCCAAAGAATCAAGTCACCGGGCTCAGCACAGACTTTGATGAGCTTGCATCCTTGCTCTTCATACCACTTGACGTGGTGCTCCTTGAACGGGTAGAAGTCGTAGTGCTTTGCTCCAATACCTTGAGTGCGGTCAGGAGGGTTGAGACTGAAGAAACGATCGAAAAGCTTAGAAGATCCCTCCATTAGGAGCAGACCACCATCCTTGGGGCCAGCCTCGCTAAGGTTGATAATACCCTGCACACAAGACAAGCCCTTTCGCTCGGGGGCCTGATCAACATGAGGCCACGGAGACCACTCGACATCAGTGCGGCCCGGTAGAGTGATGTTGATGGTGTCGAAAGACACCAGCAACTCATCGGTTCCCCAAATCTTGGCGAAGGCGTCAATAATCCCAGGTTCCCTGTAATTGGTGTTAACTTCTTGAAGATGCATGTATGGATATAAAGGGGGATTAGTGCTTACATTCTCGCGTCCCAGACATATTTCTCATGTGCGGCACAGTAGTTCAGGTACATGCCAGCCTTGAAGCTCTGGGGCAAGTTCTTCGCAGTCCAGGTGCTGCGATCATTGATATCGAAATCCGTGTCGAAGGATTGCAACCAGTCAAGAGCCTTCGTGCGGTACTTCAGTGCCTTCTCGCGAGAGATGACATTTTTCAGGACGACATATCCTTTGCTGTAAAAATCGTCGCGCCAATCACCGTAAGAGGTGGTAGCGTTCTGGTCGAGGATACCGGGTGCCATCGTGGGTTAAAGAAAATATAGTTGATGAAGGTTGAGTTTGATAGTAGAGTGGGTTCTCGAATTCCTTCTCGGTGAAAATTGAAGACTTGTTGATGACTGGTACTGAATGAAAATGGTCGGTCTTAAATAAGGAGTAGAGGCCTTCAATTCCAACAAAGTAGACTGGGTGCCCCTCGGGGTGGACGGCCGAACGAGCCCGGTGATCGACGGCGGGGAGAGAGTTTTCGGGCGAATGCCGAGAAAATTTGCGAATTTTTGCTATAACATGTCATGACCTGAACTAAGATCCCCCAGTTTTCTCCTCCCCCACACGGAGTCCCGGTGGGGGAGGCGATTGGGTTGGGCTTGGCACGGGGCATCCCCGATGAAAAGTGTATAACATCACCAATGGCAGTGTTTCTTAGACAGGAACTTGAGTGAAAGTTGCGAAGCCAGTCATTTTCCTATTCTTTCACTTTTTATCATTGTCAAAATGCCACCTCCCGCCCAAGTCGCCAACCTCGAAATCAAGCCGCCTGCTGTTGGTCACAATGGCTATCAAGGCTTCAATCCTCATACCGAAACCCTTCCCAAGGGGTGGAACGGCTTCAATTCTCGCGCTCTCAGCGAAGATTTGATGGTGCAACATGATGTGGCCATCCGTGTCCGCGATGGTTGCACTCTCTATTGCGACATCTATCGACCGGTCACCGAAGAGAAGGTCCCCGCCATTGTCGCATGGAGTCCTTTCGGCAAGAAGCACAATGGAATCAACATGATGAAAAAGGTTCGCTGGGGAGTTGGTGTGCCTAATGGCTGTTTGAGTGGTCTGGAACGTTTTGAAGGACCTGATCCAGCCGAGTACTGCCCTAAGGGATTCGCCATTGTCAACGTCGATGCTCGTGGTGCTGGCGACTCCGATGGGTCAATCGTGATTATGGGTACTCAGGAGGGAGAAGACGGCCACGACGTTATCGAAGCCTTGGCGAAGATGGATTGGTGCAATGGTAACCTGGGACTCGCCGGCAACAGTCACCTCGGAATCGTACAATGGTTTATTGCCGCCACCCAGCCTCCATCCTTGAAGGCCATCGCACCTTGGGAGGCATGTGGCGACCTCTACCGTGAGCAGTTCGTTCGCGGAGGAGCATGGGACAACGGTCTCTTCGATCTTATTACCCGTGAGACAATTCGAGGTCGGCACGGTCTCGAAGATTTCAAGGAGATGTTCCGCCGCAGTCAGACTATCAACCCATATTGGGCGGATAAGCGCGCCGAGATCAGCAAAATTCAGATCCCAACCTATGTCGTGGCTTCTTATTCCAGCTTCGTCCACACCATGGGCTCTGTTCGTGGCTGGTTGGATGTTAACACTGAGAATAAATGGCTTCGGTGGGACCCTTACCAGGAGTGGTATGATTTGTGGGTTGAAAAAGAATCTCGGGATGAACTTGCATCTTTCTTTTCAAAGTTCCTCAAGGGAGAGGACAATGGGTGGGAGAAGACTCCTCGGGTGCGGATGGCATCGCTGAATTACGGGAACACGGCACCCGAATACCCAATTTTGGTCGAAGACTTCCCTTTGCCCAACACCGAATATCGGGAGCTCTTCTTCACGGAGGACCACACTCTTGCTTCTCAAACGCCTTTGAGACAAGCAACCCTGTCTTACAACTCTGAGAGCGGAAGTGACCCTGTTGATTTTGTCGGTTTCACCCACAAGTTCTCGCAGAAGACTCGCTTGATGGGATTACCCAAGGCAGTTCTTCACATGTCTTGTGATGATCTGGATGACATGATCGTCTACGTCCTTATTCGCAAGCTCGATAAGAATGGCAAAGAGATGATCAATGTTAATATTCCCCTCTCGGCTGCGCCATATTCGAATGTTGATGATATTCCTCGGGACGAGTACAGCAACCTCACCATCTACTATGGCCCCACCGGTATCCTCAGAGCATCTCATCGCCAGATTGATCGCTCGCGCTCCATTCACAACCAATACCCATTCCACACTCATTCTGAAGTGCAGAAGATTCCTCCTGGAACCATTGTGGAGCTCGAGATCGGGCTGTGGGCTATGGGTATCGACTTTGAAGCGGGTGAATCCTTGCGGGTACAAGTCAGTGGTGAGTATCCTTTGATCCAGGAGACAAAGTACGCCAAGGTGGAACTGGAGGTTCGAAACAAGGGTACTCATAAGCTCCATGTGGGTGGGAAATACCCATCTCGCATCGTTCTTCCCTTTGTATAAACGGGGTGAAGTTGTACTCGTGCTTGGCTTTGCTTCCATTTGTACCGCTAGTGAGGAACATAGATGAAATAACATTTCGAAGCACATAGTTTTACGTATATGCTGCATAGTCAGCTCTTCCCAAACCTAGTCCCTGTCAATCAGTGTGCTTCTATAGGTATATCAGTCTTACGAAGAAAGACTACAGTATCACTGAAAGTCTTGCTCGGTTTATTAGCTTTGGGGTTTTTTTAGTTAGATTGTCTCGGTCCGAGGCGTGGCATGTTTAATGCACTACAGAGTTTACGTGGACGGATTCATGTGATTTAGAAGAGTGTTCCGAATCCCTAGGAAACACCAACTGGTGTGTTCTGAATTCAGGTTTAAACAAGAATCTCAGAAATTACTGCAAAAGTTCAAATGTAGAAAACTATATTGACGACACCATCGAACTGCGTTGTTCTTTTCTATTGAGACATATTCAAATTTGACTTCATCCGCTCGCTGTTTCCCATTTCCCGAATGTGAACTGTGTGTTACACATATTTGTTAGCTCCCAGTCCTCGGCTCCAATCTCAACTGGAGTACCCTCATCCTCCACATCTCCTACGAGCCCCGCCACAAACATAGCACTCATAATGTGATCGTCAGTAGCATGGGCTTCACGAAATTTCGGTATCTTCATCAGCATAGTCAGACTTTTTCTGAGCAGCGGTCCTGATGCTTTGGTCATGGCATCTTCGACCTCTTGACGGAAATCCAACGCCCAGTCTCCAGGCGGTGTTGGCATAGCAAAATTATCCGCATACCGAAGCAGCGGCCACCATACATTGCGGTAGAGATTGTGAACAGTACCGCCCGAGCCAATGAATAAGACCTTTTCACGACGGAGTGGTCGCAGGGCCGCTCCGACTCGCAGGTGATAATATGGATCAAAGCGAGCGTTCATGCTGATGACTGTCGTAGGTGGACAGCCCTCCGGGAAGGTTCGAATGAGGATCAAATATACATCGTGGATCCAATCAAAGTTGGGATTGGCCGAGGCATTAAATCCAGATTTTCGGAGGGTTGATATAACACGCTCACACATTGGGAGATCTGGAATCAATTCGTAATCGACATATTTGCTAGGATGGACGCCGCCAATTGGTGCCTTCTTGGGTTTCGGGCTGGTAGCGACTTGAATGTCATCGCCCACAGCAGCCCAGTGTGCACCCTGAATGGATTGTCAATTATACTCTAAGGCGACAAGTCAAGACCTCGGAGTTAGGGCTCAGCGTACCATAATCACAACATGCTCAATTCCATTTCGGCGAGCCGCTGCTCCACACTCGGCCCAATAATCTGCCGAGTCTGACTGCTCGCCTAGCATTGCCGTGGATCCATGAGAAAAGAAATGGACGGGGGCCAGACCGCCTGCCATAGTTTCTATGTATTGCCAAAAACTGTTAAAAGTGCATGACGATAGTATTCGGTGACCCCGGCCACTCAAATACTTTCTACGGGATGTGGACTCCGGGTCTCCGGAAGAGGTGGGGGAGTGCCAAGCTCTCCCCCCATACTCCCCGTCTTCGCGTTTGCGGGGAAACGCATCAACGACATCTTCCCACCCTGGAGAAGGCCGTATATTTGCTCTCCCAACCACCCCTCCACTCCTCCGCGGACCGATCATGCCAGGTTGATTACCCCCTCTTGATTCCGCGTAAATGCTCAATGGCTGGCCCGCACCGTCGAACGGGCACGCCGCCTAACCTGAAGCGCGTCAAAGCCGGAAAAGACTCGGACGCTGAGTACTGGTGTGACAAGTGCAATCGGTCCTTTGAGCGTTCAGATCACTACGCTCGTCATATGCATTCTCGTGAGTGCTCAAGCTCTTGCATGGAAATGCGACCCTATACTGACCCACTCTTTAGACGAAGATCTGCGACCCTATCGCTGTCCCCTTTGTCCTAAGGCGTTCAACCGGGGGTATGGACAAAGCTCATGACCCCCTGCTCCGTCAAGATACCAAAGCTAATGAAGAGCCACAGGGACCTTTTGTATCGACACAAGCAGGCCCATCTACGCAAAGGGGCTTCCCGGACTAGGCGTGCTAGTCGCGCATGCCAAGCATGTGTTCGGAGCAAATCCAAGTGCATAGACCAGAAGCCCTGTCAACGCTGCTTGAGTCGGGGTGAGCCTTGCTTGCCATCAGTGAAAGATGCCAAGAATGCCTCTCACTGGAATCAAACCCCTGAGATTATTTCCACCCCAAATCCTCCTCCGGCCATTTCCAACGAAAATGACGGGAATTTTGGTGTCTCATCCCCGTCAGCCATGGTGGAGCCACCACAGTCCTCTGAATCCCATCAACAGTCCATGGTAGATGAGGTGACAGCAGGTTCAGCCTCACCGCTGGGACCCGCGCTTACAGTTGATTGCTTGGCGTCTACCTATGCAAATGGCTTTTCTTTTACTGATGCGTTCTTACTTCCACCCGCGACAGGCGAGCTGGATGGTGGGTGCTTTGAGCTGGACCTCGACACCCTTCAGGCGTTGATGCAGCCTATTCCAAATGACGTGCAACCGTCTGTCCCAACTGAAGGAAGCGGGCCGACTCATGCTAGTCCAGCCTCTTCGCGGTTTGAGTTTTTCAAGAGATCCCCTTGGCTATGGGCGCCAGTGCATGTCGACAATGCATATGCCGGACAGGAGAGTTTGCGGGTCAATGAAAAGGCCGTTGACTCGATGTTGCGGAGAAGTCAGCAGTGCTTCTTTACCGGGAAATTCACCCCGACAGTACTTGATTCCAGTTGTCGGGACCGAATACTGTTCATGATCTACAATACTCCACATTCCAGCGTCCCATTGCAGGCATTTCCCTCGGAGTCTTATCTGGATCGCATGGTTCAGGTCTATTTTGGTTGGCAAAGCCTAGAACCAGCAAGCTGGATTCATGCCCCGTCATTCTCCGTTACTGAGTGTCACACCGAGCTCTTGGCTATTATCATTGGCGCTGGGGCTTCGTCGATATCAATCGATAGCGTATGCAGAATGGGCTACGCTTTGCAAGAGCGATCACGTCTTTCACTCTCGGCATCGGTTAGTGCCTGATTTTGCAATCGAATAACCGACTCAATTCGGGTAATAATGTTTCTCCAGATTGAAAAAGATAATAGCCGGGTCCGAGGCCTCCAGACTATCCAAGCATATTTGCTTTGGGTCTCAGTTAGCCTGTGGAGTGGATTTAAGCGTAACATGGAAGTTGCCGAGACATTTCTATCTGCGCCTGTGACTGTATGATGCTGAGAATCCAAAGGAGGTTTCACAGCTAACTCTTGAAATAGATGCTTCGTCGCTACGGTTGCTTCTCACGCACATTATATGCTCAGTCTATTTACCCCCGCCTGGAGGATGACCCTCATACCACTGAAGCAAAGTGGCGTGCATGGGTCAAACAAGAATCACTGAAAAGGTTTGTCTTTGTCGACATTTCACCAATGGGATGTCGCTGACCAGCAAAAAAAATAGAACGGCTATTTTCGCCGTGCTAACTGACCTTCGGTGCTCGATGGCATACCTGAAGCCTCCCAACTGCTCGGTCACGGAGCTTTCATGCCCACTTCCTCTTGCTCGAGATATATGGCTAGCACCCTCAGCAACTGCTTGGAAGGACGCCATGCTCTCTTATGGAATAAATCTTGACGAACGTCCCTCGTGGCTCGCGATTGCCCAGAACCCATCCGTGCTTGACAACCTGCCCATTTATTACGATAAGCCTCTTATTGCTCAGGTAGCAATGCACGGCTTCTGGTCTCAGGTTTGGGCGTATCAAGAGTCTCAACGTTTTTTCCGAGCTAGTGGCCAACTTTCCATCCAAGCGACAACCATCCTATGGCTATCCTGCCAACATGAAGATCTGGCCAAACGCATAGGAATCGCACAACAAGCCCTCTCAACCCAGGGGCCTGATCCTTCACGTATCCAGATGGTGGCAGAGTTCTGCTTGATGGCCCTCAACGTGTCCCCTCGAGAGTTACAACGGTTCGCAGGAAGACTTGGGGAAGAGGAGGCTGCTACTACCCATCATCTCCTGCGGGAGTGGATGGTCGGGCCGGAATTCAAGACCGCCGTTTGGCATGCGGGTCAGATTCTGCGAATTGCCAGGTCCGCACCTGCAGCTCCAACTACGAGAGTTCTCGGCAGTCGTGGTTTATCAAGCAAGTCTCACATTGTGGGCGTACGGTCTCTTTTCAATAAGCATGACTAGGCTCGGGTCCCCTCAATTATTCCCGACGGCCTACCAAGGAGAGGCCTGTCAAGTTCTTCTAGATGGTCCCAGCAGCCCGGATACCACAGCGTTTGTCATGTTTGGTAAAGGAAACCCGGGGATATCAGTGGGACCTGACCGGCTCTTTTGTCCATTGACTGACATCCGAACTGTTATGACGGCGGCTTGCGATGCGTATAGGGACAACTTCAACCCAGAGACGGAGACTTTCCCCCCTCTACTTGAAGGAATGATGAATTTGATGACGGATCTGGGAAATATTGACACGGCTTCTTTCTGAATTCCGTTGCTATTGGAGCGAATATAGACGACTGTATGAATAGTGAAGCTTAACCAGGTTTACTTCCAACCTTTTATAGAACCCCCTTCGGTACCTAATTAACGCAACATGATGAAATCTTTCACCAAATCAGAAGGCTTTTGTGATTCGGGCGAACTCTCGACCAGGAGCTATTTGTAGAATATCATCTCCAGCTCACTAGATTCCCATAGATGCGGGGAGGTAGTAACAAGTCTGTTGGACCCAAAAACATTTCTCCTTGCCTCCCTAGAAACTTTGCTGGGGAGTATTTTGATTCGGCATCGTTCCACCAAAAGTAGGCTATTTGCCGTACCATGGATGGAAATTTGGGACAACTCGACATTCATCTCGGTCTCCGCGGTTGTCCGCTGCAGTAGTTTGAGGGCTGCATCCGGAAATCTCATCATCCCCCACCCGCTTCCGAAGTCTTTGCTAAGCGGCATTCTCGGCTCTCCCACTGATTGACGATATTAAATCATCGAAACTATTCATTTTCAGTGTATTCTTCTTGCTCAGGATTGAACGTTCTATCAGTACGGATACGCCAGTATGGTTAACACTCACGAGGCAGAGCGCCTACACATTTTGATTGCTGGGGCTGGGATTGGAGGCTTGTTGGCCGCGATCGCCCTTAGACAAGCTGGCCATGTTGTACATGTACGTCATCGAGACCTTTGGGCAGCTCTGCATAGAGCTAATCATGTAATTTGAAGGTATTTGAATCATCTCGCTTTGCGGTCGAGCTCGGTGCCGCAATTCATCTCCCTCCAAACGTGAACGGACTTTTGCGGCGAATGGGTATCCAGCCAGAGGAGTTTCGGTGCAACGATGCGGAATTTGTAAGCAATGTTTTGGTTGAAAATCATCAAAGTTATGGGACTAAACAGCATAGGTATCCGTTTTTGACGCTCAGGGAAACGTTGTGAGCTCAAAGGACGTTCGCAACTTGCGAGAGATCTATCCATTTGTAAGTAGCATGCCTACAACTTATCTATAGAAATTAGCTAATGAAAACCACCAGCCCTGGCAATTGAGTCATCGAATCGATCTCCATGAAGCGTTGAAAGCAAAGGCTACTTCAATCCACGGCCCTGGCATTCCAGTCACCATTCACCTACGAAGCAAGGTCATTGACTGCGATCCTGCTTGCCCTTCGCTGACCCTAGCCGATGGAAGCCAGGTGCAAGGAGATCTTCTCATTGGTGCTGACGGTGTTCATGTATGTCACTCGCTGAAAAGATATCCTTACGGTCGCGAAGAACTTCTAACAAATGATCGTTTCATTTAGTCTGTACTTCGTAAGATTGTCGCTCAAGAAGACATCGCGGCAGAACCCTCTGGCGGAAGTGCCTTTCGGTTTCTTATCCCAATCTCAAAGATCAAAGCGAATCCAGAGACCGCAGCCCTTGTTCAGAAGCATGGAGAGCTTCAATTCTGGGATGGTCAGTATCGTCGCCTCGTGATTTATCCTTGCCGGTCAGTCAAATTGCATTTCTGTTTTGAAAGTCCCCATTGCTCACACAAAGCAGGAATAATACGGAACTCAACTTTGTGTGCTTACACCCTGATACCGAGAGCGAGGGTACAACTGAAGGTAGATTCAATACCTAGCATTGTGGGATTCCATATTACTCACACAAGTTCAATTACAGGATGGAACATTACCGGATCCCAGGAGAACCTCCTCAGAGTGTTCGACGGGTTTTCTCCAGCCATGAAAGCTCTTCTTGCGATGGCTGACCCTGACTCTATCAAGCTTTGGAGGCTCCTGGATCGCAAGGCTCTCGGAACTTGGATCAATGGCAAGAGTTGTCTCATTGGAGATGCGGCACATCCATTCCTTCCACGTTAGTGACCCTATCACCCAGAGATAAAATTTCGTGGGGAGTGGAACAAAGTGCTAATAGCTGAAACTCGAACAGATCAAGGCCAGGGTGGTGCCCAAGCAATCGAAGATGTGAGTCCCAAATTTTTCGAGAATTTTCCTGCTTTGCCAATGCTAAATCCAAGCAGGGAGTCGCACTGGGTGCATTACTCCCCAAAGGTACTACTCGAGATGATATTCCTGGTCGACTCGAGCTGTACATGAAGTGTCGCTACGAAAGAGCAACCATGGTTCAGAATTTTTCCCGTCAAGCAGCGTTTAAAATCAGTGCCAAGGACGCCGTTGGAGGTACATCAACCGATCGTGAGTGCACCTGAAATATCAATGATGCGACTCAGATTCTCACGGTTTATTGTAGCTCTTGAATTTATGCGGATTAACTTCGGACATGATGCGCACGACTTTGCGGCTAACGTGCTTCGCAAAGACCAGGGTATTCTGCCCCATCCAGATCTGTATTCTCTCGAGCGTGAAACTTACCACTTTTCCTGCAGTGAGTCGGACCCCGAAGCCAAATACATTGTGTACTCTGTTTGGTCCCTCGACACCTTTGATTTTGGGCACCCGTGGTTCTCACGGTATTCTTGGATCGCCCGCAAAGAGACTACTGGAGATTGAATTCCGCGCTCGTCGAAACTACCTTGAAACCTTCCTTCCAAGAATGGATTCACGTATTGCCTCGCCTGGCGGTTGGAGCAAGGCTTCCTGGGTTGTTAGGCGCATTCAACCCGAGGAGTGGAAGGGACACGGTGAAATCACCGTTGTAGGCCTGTGCATCTTCAACACACTTCTTTCACCCGATCAGAAGGAGCCCAAAGAATTCAACCCGGTCATCTTTTGTGATAATGCCGACTTCGTGATTGCGGCACGCGAAGAGCTCAATCTTCCTATTCTACTCGTTGATCTAAAGGAAAGGTTCATTGATACTCGGTACCAAATGAAACTCGAGCGGTCAGGCCATACTGTTATGGAGATTCAGGCGAACCTTGCAGCTGATCATCGTAATGGCGTGTCTGGTAATGAAACCAGTGGAGAATCATGGGTCTCTATGACTCTTCTGAAGCCGGAAGTCGTTGAAGCAGTACTTCCTTGTCTGGCCAATGTGATTGGACGGCTACAGAGTCTCGACATGAAGAACCCAATGATCACGCAATCAAACCTCACATTCTGAAGATACAGAAGCAATTATTGGATCATTCACCGGGAGAACATACATAGCACCATATTAGTTGTTCATCTCATAGATCAACCCCAATGTATCTAGATTTTCTTGTCTTGTCTTGCGAGACTGTCTCATTCAAGACACGGTCCACTTCTTCCATCATTTATCCTGCAAAAATCGAACATAGCAAACTCCAAAATTCAAACATGCTGCATTATCCAGAGAAATGAACCCTGACATCAGTTCTATCGCCTAATAGTGATCTTGGTCAAATCAGTCTTCTGGGGGGTTTTTTGACTTAATTTGAACACCGAGTCCTTAGACATTATGACTATTTCAAGGAAAGCAAGACAAAGTGGGATGCTCTGATAGTGAAGTTAAAAATTCATAGCGAAATTCTCTACAGGCAAAAATCATTGGTCTATCCTAGCCTGATCAAGGAGACAAAAATTCCGAAATAGCGCAGTTCGTCTCTTAGTGGGGTGTCGCATCATCAAAGTCGATATCGTCTACCTTGGTCACTGCATCCACGTTGCAACCATACGCTTTCCCAACTTTGAAGGCTATCTCCTGCGCGAATCGCGCCACCTCTGGACTTCCTCCATGCCTAACAATGCCTCGGGTATGCCACATGGCCTGTTGCGGAGAACCCGAGCAAATCAATGCTGCAGTGGTACACATCTGAGTCTCCACGGGATTCAAAATAGTGTTCTCGCTCAGCCATAACTCATAGATAGTTTCCAGATTGAGAAGGTCTGTGAGACGTTTATTAGTGAGAATGAGGTCGTTTTCTTGTAGCAACAGAAACATACATAAATCCGGTTGGTACTTGAAGTTCTTTTCTCTGTTTGCTTGCGCAGCTGCAGGTGTCCAGAGAATGTCAAAGTGTTGACGACCTCGAGCACGTCTCTCTGCCTGTGACTCCCCATTCTTCAAAGCCTCGGTACTTTGAACATGTTAGTTTCAATGTACGTGTTGGACTCGATCGGTGGGAAAGACAAACCGTGGGCCATAATGATCAATCTGCTCCTCCTTTAGGGTAGAAAACAGGGGCAATAATGCTTGCAAAGATTTAGGCACCCCGTACAGGATGCTCGTTTTCAGGATTGCCTCTTTCAGTCTCCTTTGTATATGTTTCTCCTCGTCAAGGCTGGTGCCCCTTGTCGCAATCTGATAGAGCTCGGTCACGTCAGGACCAGCGCCTGCAGCTGCCATCGCAGTGGCCTATACCCAATATCTTCTTGTCAGCTATTGATCTTCAGCAATCTGCCTATGTTGCCTCATACGTACAGCGACGAGGTACCATTGGTCTTTTGTGTCGGCACTCCCCCCACTTGAGCTCGGAGTTCCTCAAGGAGTTGTAATGGTGCCATAATATTGAATATATCCGAGGCGCTGAATAAAGGTAGTGAAACAAGTCTCAGGACTTCCGATGGTTCTTCGGTTGATGATAAATGCCTTGATCATTCTTTCCGTAGAAGTCCTTCCGGTCCCCGCCCCCACCGGGCCATCGGTTCTAGGCCTTTATGGTATGGACCCGCTAGATGCCGTTGTCCGAATATTTATTCCCATAACACAGGGCACTATAGCAGTTTGTTTATACGTCAAATCTGCTACACGGACTACGGCTTCTTCATTTTTGTGTTTTATCAACCTCGCTTGATTATCATGAGCGCTCAGCCCCTTCCTACGATCCGCCGACTTGTCACTGGCCATGATGGACAGGGCAATGCCATTATCTGGAAAGACGATGAAATCAAGGCATCCCAAGCACAGCATGGACCGTTTCTGACCCGAATTTGGTCATCCTCCGAACTGCCTCCTGATGTCAATACTGCCGACGACCTTGGCTTAGTCGATACTGGACTGGCCAACAACGGTACAATCTGCCGCATTGTCGATTTCCCCCCAAAGTCCGTGGGAATGGTTCACCGATCAATCACTCTTGATTACATCTATGTGTTGGAGGGGGAAGTCACATTGACTCTTGATGATGGTTCAAAGACCAAGGTTCAAAAAGGCGATATTGTGGTGCAGCAAGGAACAATGCACGGATGGGACAACGAGACAAACAACTGGTCACGACTGCTGTGTGTCTTGATTGCTGCGAAGCCTCCAATTGTTTCGGGGAAAATATTAAAGGCGGAGGTTCCCTTCCAGATTTAGGAGGACATTGAAGATGGTCGGTTGTTATAAAAGATTTTTGTCACTTGAATTTTGCCTCGTCATTAGGAGGGCCTCTGAAATTCAATAGAGGTTTAAGTCATAAATAACTATAAGATGGGCAAAGCTTCAAAGCTTTTTTTCAACGACTAAATTAAACGCCGATTGTAAGACAATATTCTACTGCCTTCCAAGGGGGTTCTCCTTAAATGGGTAACCAACTGATGCGGACTCAAAATAAGCCAAATCAATTCTAAACAATTTTCCCATCCCGCATAGCTGGAAAACACTCTAGTCATACTTCAGGCTTGCCTCCGTTGTTTTATCTCCGAGCCATCAGTCCGTGTAGTTCAGAAACCCCACCCGGAAGCGACGCGGGGAAACTGTGGAGAACCAATTGAAGCCGGAGGAGTCAACGGCCGAAGCATACTGATTCCGAAATTCATTGCAATGTGTGTGCCGTTGTTCTAAGATATAAGAAGAGTAAACGAATTACTTTTATTCTCTGTAATCAGATCAGAAACCTTCATTGCCTTGAAATTCTATCAATCAAGATGTCTCACCAAATTGGCGGCATCGACGTTGCTTTTACGCCGTCGAACCGCAAATTTCACAACTACTGGACTGATTTCCGGCCCTCGACAAAAGTAATTCTTCCTGAAGGATGGCAGCGAGAGCCAGGTTTTCGTGCATTGAGCGAGCCTATCATCTGGGAAAAAGACATTCCTATCGCCATGCGGGATGGAACGATTCTCCGTGGTGATGTTTTCCGTCCTTTAGCTAAGGATAATGTTCCTTTGCCTGCACTTCTCCCTTGGAGCCCGTATGGAAAAACAGGAAGTGGTTGGTTTCTCTCGAACGGAAATTGGAAGAGACAAAAATTGACAATTTTTCAAGGCCACCATCAGACAACCAGCTTTACCTGGCTGGGTGTACCTAAGAGCTCTTTGAGTGGCCTGGAAAAGTTCGAGGCACCCGATCCAGCTGAATGGTGTCCACGTGGATACATTGTTGTCAATGTGGACGCGCGGGGATGCTTTGATTCTGAAGGCGACATTTTCATCTTCGGCACCCAGGAGGGTCGTGATGGTCATGACACCATTGAGTGGATCGCAGAGCAGCCTTGGTGCGATGGAAATGTGGCCTTGGTAGGAAATTCCTGGCTAGCTATGACTCAGTGGTAGGTTGTTCAAGGCTTATATGATAAATTATCTTCGAGTTAACAAAGAGTTAGGTTGATCGCAGCAGAAAAGCCACCACATCTGAAGGCGATTGCTCCATGGGAAGGAATCGGTGATTTCTATCGTGAGAGTATCTGCCGTGGCGGCATTCCCAACTCGATGTTCTGGGACCTCCTTCTGAAAGAGTTCAATGGAAAGACTCAACGCGAGGATATTGTGGCTATGATTGAGAAGTACCCGCTCATAAACGCATACTGGGAAGACAAGAGACCCCGACTGCAGGACATCAAGATCCCGATGTATATCCTGGCGAGCTACTCAACCGGATTGCATACTGAGGGATCTATCCGTGCATGGAAGTATGCTGGATCGGATGAGAAATGGTTTGGTTTTTTCAATCCTTCTAATGTTCCAATATGTGACTAACACTTCCGCTGTCAGGCTACGAATTCATCCTACTCAGGAATGGTTTGACATTTACCAGCCATTTGCGAATGATGACCTTCAACGCTTTTTGGATCACTTCCTTCTTGGAAAAAACAATGGCTGGGAGGTAACACCCAAGGTCCGTCTCTCTTTATTGAGATACAACAAGGCCCCGATCAGCTTCCGCGCAGAAGACCGTTACCCTCCTTCCCGGATGGAATACAAGACTTTCTACCTTAACGCCGCCAAGGAGAACGGAATGGTTGCAGGATCTTTACAACCTGAGGCTCCCTCTGAGATCGTCACCACCTCATACCAATCTGATATGTGGGAAGACGATGGGGCTTACTTCGCGCTCAAATTCACGGAACAAACCGAGTTGATTGGCAGCTCTCAGGTATGCAAAATTGTACCTTGAAGAAGATTTTGACAATGACTAAGAATTCACAGGTCAAACTATACATGTCATGCGCTGATCTCGACGATATGGATGTATACGTGATTATTCGAAAGCTCGATCGCTCCGGAAAGCCACTGCTCAACTACAATATTCCCTTTGAGTACCAGAAGCCTGGAACTACCCCCGACATGATTGACGATGAAAACATTTACAAGTATGTCGGGCCAAGTGGCCGGCTTCGCGCTTCTAAGCGAGCTGCCACAACTGAAGAACCTGACATGCTTGAGAGCAGGAAGGAGAATCAAGAGCCTACAGAGCTTTTCTTCCCGCATGACAAGTCAGAAAAGGTTCCTCCTGGTCAGGTCGTGGAACTCAGGATTCCCATCTGGGCTGGTGGTATTGTTTTCGATGAAGGAGAATCGCTGAGATTGGAGATCAAGGGCCATGACCCTATTTTGCCTGAATATCCAGCCTTGATCAAGGGACCAAAGAATTTGAACAAGGGTCAACATGTCGTGCATACTGGTGGTGAGTCCTTGTCTACGTTGACAGTTCCACTGACCAAGGTGTGAAACGGAAATTCCAGTATGATGAAACGCAAAACGGAAGATCAATGGGATGAATGGGTGAGATTCCTCTTGGTTTGGTATAACCTGTATTCAAGAATATATTTTTATTTCTGCTGTAATACTAACAGTTTTCCCTTCCGCTGTCATTTAATACCTTCATTTGCTCGCTCTATTTCACGCATATTATTACTAGAGGCTCCCAGGAGTCTTTGATTCCCAGATTTTAGAGAAGCGTTCACAGGAACGTCCATCTCGATCCTGGAAGCAAACAGGGGCTAGAGCGTTAGTCGGCCTCCGGAGCCACATAGATCGTCAAACCAGCGTATCTCTAATAGATAGCACTCTCGTGCCCTGCTTGTTCTTTCAAATATTCAGTGAACGGATACTGGACTACTTCGAGAAATCCATCTAAGCAAGTAACAGAGACCGCTCATAGCTGTTGCGGCAGGTGCCATCTGGCACGGATCAACTGTCTTGCACTGTCAATCTATCTCAATGTGGGTGAAAGAGCAACTTTGCAAGGTGGAAATACGATCCATTTACTTGTTGTAATCTAACCTCATGAAGCTTCAAGGATTTATCGTCTAACCATTTCAGCTTGAAAGTTTTTGAAAATTATGGAAATTGATAGACTCAATATAAAGAATATAAGTCTATAGAAAGACCTTATAAAGGCCTTATAAGAAGCTACGGTTGTTAAATTATGAAGTTGTAATTCATCACCTCTACTATGGAGTTTTAAGGTGGCCCACTCGCTTACCAAATACGTTAGCCGGGAATAACGTTAGTCAGCGGACCGCATCTTGCGTGTGCGGAGAGGAATAAACAGACTGTTACACCGAAGAGAACACGCCATTGGTTGACGACAAAACGTCTGGTTACGTGATCAGAGACAACCAGGGTGTCAGGTGACAGAACATCGACACCTAGACGCCTGACGATTCTGCTAGAGAGATTGTCACCCACCGCCTTCTCGGACAAACGATTTTCCTACAAAGTCCTATTCTCGGTAACCAATTGTTTATCCCTTCCAGGAGGATCCCTTCCAGGAGGCTGAGCCTTAACTAATATCTAGTCGTGACTTGTTCAACATTAGCTTGAAAGACCCAAAACGTAGCCGTTGAAACCAACGCCACTCTACAGTTATTGTTGATGCTCAAAATCACCTGGGTTCATTCAACGTCGTGACCCTATACAGTAAGAAAGCAGCAACAATAGGAAAATAAACAAAACCGAGGAACAAAAATAGACAGGCAATGGACAGCAAATTAAATAGCATAGAGCTCCTTGATCTTATGTTTCGTTTTCGATCCACCTCGGACCACGATTGGTGCTGGCTGGGGAGTAATCCGTGTCAGTGCACACAATCTTCACTGCGATATCGTGAGCTGTGAGGCAGAACGTCCCATCTGCTGGGAGTGCATATATGACATCTCTCTAGTTCCACCACGTCCACCATCAGACACCCGATAGGTAGCTTTGTAGTCTGGCTAATGTTCGTTCTTTCAATGGAATACGCAAGACACTTTGGTGTGGATTCGAAAGTCGAACTTTCTTCCATCTCGAGGTGGATATGCAAAGGGCCAGCCAGGAAGAACGGCGACGAGGCCGTCGGAGTTATGACGCCGGTAAACGGGTCACGGGGCGCTAGAACACAGCTACTAAATACTTTAAAATCCTTAGACAGTTCTGCAGTTGAGACCGCTGTTTCCACGGTTCCGGAGCCTGGAGAGACACCAGAAAGCGACACCGCTCCCGTAGTGATTTCGACCGGATCTTGTACAGCGCTTATTGTCGACGCCGAGACCAATATAGGAAGTAACGTACTTTCATTCGGGTGGGGATGAGCACCCATTTGACCTTTGTCTCGAGCGCTGATAGACTGTCGAGCGTGGTCCACAAGGATTTCATTGAATCGATGCCGTATTACCAACTCTCTTGGATAGTTTGACGTCCGACAGCCCTCTCACCGCAATAGAATGCGTGTGCCATGGAGGCGTAGAACGAACAGAAATGTGTGTTGATGAGCATGGTAGTGAGTGTTGACGTGAGTGTTGACGTGAGCGTTGACGTGAGTGTCGACGTGAGTGTCGACGGGAGTGTTGATGGTGAGCGACGATGGTGAGTGACGACGGTGAGTGACGACGGTGAGACGGTGAGTGACGATGGTGAGCGAACGTTAACCGTCCTTGAAGTTGATGGTGGTGGTTCATGTGAAGACCACTGCCTCCTGTTGATCACCGAGCGGTGAGAGGGGTCTGGAGGTTGAACTGCCACCTCACCCCCTACACAGTCTTTACCTGTTAGATGCACTTGCACACATTATGGCGCGATGGGAGTTCTGCAAAGAAGGGCAGTGAAGTGACGAGCGAACGGTTGGTTAGTGAACGATCATTTGAGGAGTGAGCCAACAGTTGAGTGGTGGTTAGACACTTCACCGGTGAGCAGTTGACCAGTGAATGAACAGTTGAGTGATGAACGAACAGTTGAGTGGTGAACGAACAGTTGAGTGGTAGATAGACACTTCACCGGTGAGCAGTTGGCCAGTGAATGAACAGTGGACTGGTAGATGAACAGCGGAGTCGTGAATAGATAGTTAAGTCGCGAATAGACAGTTGACCAGTGAGCAGTTGACGTGAATGAACAGTTGAGTAGTGAACAGACCTACCCACGGAATAACTAGCCGTGGTGATGGTGAATCACTCGGTGAGATTGCACTACAGGATGAGGACATCCTAACCGAGCATGTCGCCAGTCCTTGGATGCCGACACTAGGTCACTGCCTTTGCATCAAGTATTGACTCTGGAGATGTGCTTTGGTGGAACTAATCATTGGCTTTTCGCTTCCAAAGATTTTTGCCCCGGCTACTACTGTTAAGGTAAGGTTGTTGACTAGGCAAGGTTCAAGATGTCACATGTAATTCAACTGTAGAATAGACAGAGACTAATCCTTGAGGAATCAACTAATTCCTCAAGTGTGCTGGATATATACATGATGGGGTAGAACCCGGATTAAGCGAGTCATGCAGGTGCATTTCGGGGGTAGATCGGGCATGATTAGGTAGCGTCTCGGCCTATCCTGGTATCATGCCCTATAACGAGGTTACGCCGTAACAACTACAGCCGTTTTTGCTAGCCGTCGCCCGCATCGCTGCTTCGCTGTCATGAAAGCGATATGTGCAACCTCGGTCTAGGGACGAGTAGGTACGTCTACAGGAATACACAACACATAACCATCCCGCAAAATCCTCTTTCAAGAACATATTCTGCATAGACCGCTACTTCGAGGTTGATTGTAAGGGCAAGACTCGATTCACAGGCCGAAATCTACTATACACAATACGTCACAAACAGGTCATGAAGAAGCCGCGAGAACCGGGCCATTCAGCATAGAAGGGCACTAGTAGCTGTGTTTTCCGGGTTGAAGTGACCCGCGCTCTGAGAAAAGCTCGATTGGGCCAGGAGACATTGCCAACGGAACCGAGCCGGTGGGTGGTTAGGGTG